GACCAGGCCTGCAGAGGAAAACAGGGGTGACCAGACTGGCAGGAGAGGGCAGTTAGGGGTGACCAGGTAGGCAGAGGAGGGCAGTTAGGGGCAATTGGCCTGGCCAGGGAGCAGTTAGGCGTTGATCAGGCTGGCAGTGGAGGGGTTAGGGGGTGATCAGACTGGCCGACAGAGGCAGGTGAGCAGTTGGGAGCCAGTAGTCCTGGATTGTGAGAGGGATGTCATTCTGCTGGTTTAGACCTGATCCCACAGGGGTATGATGTCACAGGCATAGGCAGAGCCCTGTAAATTTCTCCACCCTATGGAGTTTTTTTGTTTGTTTGTTTGTTTTTTGCAAAACCTGCCCTTGGAAGTCTCCAAAAGAGATAAGAAAAGCCATAAATAACAAGTTCTTTTGTTCTTTGAAATTTACTACTTTGTTGCAATAGTTAACTTGAAAAGACTTTTTTCTTGCCTTTTTACAAGCAATCTTGGAACCTAACTGGCCTTTGTTTTAACTCTAGGCTACACACCTTACAAAGGAATAAATTTCTTATCTCTTTTGGCAGGCTGAGACTTCCAAGGCAAGATTTGAAAAAAAACAAAACAAAACAAAACAAACAAAACTTTTAATACTCTGGTTTCTCTTCAGATATCACATAAATCTTCCGCCTTTTACAAATTTATACCTTTAAATCTGCCCCAGAATTTTAAAGTTTCAACCTAATACAGTAAAATCACAAATCAGAGAAGAGCTAAGTAGGCTAATTTAGCTAAGTAGGCTAATTTCCTCCATCATAGAGAGCAAACATCTCTGAAAAAAATAAATCTCAGCAGCACTGCTTAAGACCTTTGCAGATCATCATGGCATTCAGCCTTTAATAAATCAAACGTTTTTGGCCAGACGAATCAACACAAGTGCAGGATAAATCAAAGTAGCTTTCACTTTTCTGGGGGCTCTCACACTTGTATTTATAGATCAATCAATGAACAGATAATTATGCAAATTCAGACAAACATCTGTACTCACACAGTTTCAGTAGACTAACCTGAATGGGAGCTAAGCAGATAACTGAAACACTGCCCAACTCCCCAAATGGATTTGGGGCACTCCTGGTAGCCACGCCCCAGAACAAAATTCTTTTTTTTTTTTTTAATATACTTTATTGATTTTATACAGAGAGGAAGGGAGAGAGATAGAGAGCTAGAAACATCGATGAGAGAGAGTCATCGATCAGCTGCCTCTTGCACACCCCCTACTGGGGATATGCCCGCAACCAAGGTACATGCCCTTGACTGGAATCGAACCCGGGACCCTTCAGTCCCCAAGCCGATGCTCTATCCATTGAGCCAAACTGGTCCCGGCCAGAACAAAATTCTTGACCAACATCTCGGTGAGAACCTACTGGAAGAGTTAAGACTGCATCCAGTCCTTATTCTGGATAGCAAAATGGCTAGTCCCAAGCAAACAAACAGCAAAGTGAACTCAATTCTTTAAACGAATTTGAATTCCCTTACCTCTGAAGGTTTTTTTCTGATGATTCCAAAAGAATACAGCGGCATGTCAGGTGTCCTTTGTCTGGCTCAGAGAAGCATCTCTGTGGCCCCGAACTTCATCAGGTGGACCTCCCCTGGAGATCCTCAGGGCCTGGCACCTCGGCGGTGAGCCTGTTCATCACAGGCATCTGAGAGTAGGTGCGGGTAGGCACCTGTCTCTTATCTCTTGGGGCCTCCAAATGTTTTGTCATAAATCAGCGAGTGAGATACAAGACACCTTAATGAGCCAATTAATTAGGAGTTGTTTGTTGTGTGTGGCCCAGAGGGAGGTGTCTCTTCCGAATCTCTGAGCACCACATATGGGAAATTTCCTGTATTTATACTCTTCCAGCTTCTTTGTTTGCAGATATTACAAAGAGCTCGGTGTGAGTTATTGTTACAGACAGTTTGTGATCTTGAATACATAAAGAACAAACATTTGGCATAAGAATATGGGAATTATTATCGGTATTAGTCCATTTTGTTAGATGACTAGCTTGCAAGGTCAGACAGTTAAGTGTATCTTTTTCTATTATATTCAAACTAAAAGTCATTTTATAGAATAAGAGACTGTCTTAAAGTGACAGAGTGTATAGGACAAGGGACTATCTAACAATAGCAGAGGATTTGAAACAGCAGTTTTATACAAGATGGAGCTTACTATATTTCAGTATAATTCCTCCAATTTTTCTTTTTCTAGATTATATTTAGTTATTCTTTGACATTTTACATTTCCACATAAATTTTAGAATTAGCTTGTCAATTTCCACACATGCACAAAACCTTGGATTTGTATTGGAATTACAAGGGGAATTTTTGTGTGGAAAGGTTGTAAATTATTATTTAATTTCTTTAATGAATATGGCCCTTTTCAAATTTTCTATTTATTGTCTATTTTAGTAAGTTGTCTTTTTCTTTAAGTTGTTAATGTATTCGTTTCATCTAAAATTTGGAATACTGGCATAACATTATTCACAATAGTATCCAGATTTTTTCTTTTTGGAGATTTGTTTTTTTTAACTTATTAAGGCGTTTGAGTAGGGAAATAATTAAGTGAAATTCATGATGTTTAATTTTGTTATGGCAGTGTGGGGGCGGGAAGTAGTTGGGAATGAGGTTCCCTGACATTAGGAAAGGAAGATAAACGTGTGCAGCTTCAGAAAACCCTCTGTGTTCTGGCTCACAGGTGTACTGGCCCCACTTCTCAGCTTTCCTGACCCACAAGCTTCTCGTCAAGTTCCTGGTGCTCCAGCATTATTTGCACTTTACTTTGTTTATTAATGACTTGATTGGTTTCATTAAAAATGGACACATTTTTCATCTTATCGAATGAGTGACTGAATCTGAGCGGGGGAAGCTAAGTGGTTGTGTATAACCCCAAATCATGAAGACTGAAGTGGAAATTGGATTTTGTGCTGCATGAACATAAGTTCTTCATTGCCATTTCGACTCCCCTGGGAACTCCTAGTTTCTCTTCAGCACTTAGGATGAAGCATTATTATATGATTAAATAATACTGATTTGAGAAGAAATTTTGTTGGAAGTTATATTTAATTCTTGGTATTTTTAGGGTTGATAGTATAGTTTGGTCTGGATTTGATCAGCACTAGTTCACAATGGAGATGATTGAATAAAAACAAAAATATACTAATACTTGTTTTTATTTATGATAAGGGCTAATTATTTCTTATAGACTTACGCTCCTAGCTTTCGGGATCTGACTTCTTTCTCCTTTCTGACTTCTCAGTCACGGACCCTTCTGCTGGGGAAGCCCGGCATGTTTTAGGCTGGCAGCCTGCCCCTGCCTCCCCTCGCAGAGAGCCAAAACAGCATATGCCTTTGGGAAGCAGGGATCAAAGAATTTGGCATGATGTATTTTAATTTTTTATCTAGGCCTCTGGGGAGTAAGCAAAATAAGCCACCCTAGGTCCCTGAGATTCTAGTAGGACTTAATTTTAATTGAGGTCTTGGCCTGAGGCATCTCATCCTGTGGTGGGCATGGTGAACCCACTCTGGCAGGTGCCTCGTATTGCTGCTTGTTGCACAGAAGTGCCCTGAAGTAGCTGTTGTGAGACACCAGTTTTTATTTCCCATCTGTGTGAACTGACACTTTCTTAAAATCCAATAAAAATGAACTTTGAGAATGAAATGTAAAAGGCCCTACAAATAGTTCAGAGTTTTTATTATTAGGTTCAACAGTCATAAAATTATTTTGTTAAATTACTGTAAATTGTAAAAATTCTTACTCTTAATTTCTGTAGTTACTTTGTGGTTAGCCAGGACCACATCATTCACCGTGGACCTCACTCTCAGGAATTCTGCCCCAGACCTGCCTCTTGTTGCCCCATTGCTCCTTCTCGCATAGAACACTTTTTTTTTTTTTTTTTTTTTTTTTGTATAGCAGAGGTGGAGATTTATTGAAGAACAAGTACAGACTCCCACATGGGGAGGGGAAGAGTCCCCAGAATACCTTACTCTTGAATTTAGGATCTTGGTGAAGCCAAGTGCTACTTGGAAGGGCTGACTCATGAGTCATATTTGAACAGTGGCTCAAGTTAAGCTGCACGGAAGCAGAAGCTCAATTTAAAATTTAATTAACACTGTAAAAGTTGTTTTTGAAGAATCAGTTAATCAGTCATTGAATTGCTTAACCAAGCAGCAGAACTGGAACTATATTAATTTGAGAGAATGGGTAAAACTTCTCAAATCAGTTTGTTACCAAGATGTAAAGAAATGTTTTCAAGAGAATTCCCAAAAAATCCCAGATAATGGATTCCCTCCAAATAAACGTAAAAACCAGAAAAACAAAAATGAAGTATCCTGGATGATGTATTCCAGAAGTCCGGCTGTGCATTTAGTGTTGGAGGGAGGATTACCAAGTCATTGTTCCAGACCATGAACCTTCAAAGTAGAAGTGTTTCCCTGAGGACTCTGGTTATGGTTATAGTTATGGTAAATTTATCATAACCATAACCATGACCATGACCAAAAGATGAGTTTGTGTTTTTTTTTCGTTCTTTCCACAATTAGAATTGAACTTCTTTTTTTTTAAATATGTTTTATTGATTTTTTTACAGAGGATAAGAGAGAGAGAGAGTTAGAAACAGAATCATCGATCAGCTGCTCTTGCACATCTCCTACTGGGGACGTGCCCGCAACCAAGGTGCATGCCCTTGACTGGAATCGAACCCGGGACTCTTAAGTCTGCAGGCTGACACTCTATCCACTGAGCCAAACCGGTTTCGACAGAATTGAAGTTCTATGACTACATTAGTGTCAGCAAAATTTGATTTGGCTTCGAAGCTGAAATGCTTAAATCAATGTGGTGGGGATTTAAAATTTCATTTGCTAGTGGATATTGTGATTTATTTTTACTTGTTTAATAATGAACAAAGTATGTATAGTATTTTTGTTAAAGTTACTTTTTAAATATTGTTCAATTTTTTTTCTAATCTAAATGATGTTTTATGTTGTTTACTTTTCAGGAATTACCCAACTCTGTCTTCCTGGTGATGGAGGTAGGTAGTATCCAAGTTTCTGCTTAATTTATTTCAATTCTTTTTGATTAATATGCACTTTAAAATTGAGAGTATATAATTATTTGAAATTTTGAATTAATAAAGTTGATTCAGTGATTTAGATCTCACTTTATAAGGAAAATAGTCTTAAATTTTTTTATTCTAAGGTTTTTCAGACTAACATTATATACAAATGAATTTTTAATTAAAATTGACTGATAATGGATTGAATTAATCTTGAACTGGTATCCTTATTTTAATTACTCTTTCTTTTATGTATCAGTATTGCAATGGCGGAGACCTGGCAGATTATTTGCAAGGTAATTTTTGTGTGTGTCAGTGTTCAGTAAAGATGCACTCTAATCTGTTTAATTCTGAGTTACTTCTGAAATGCAATCTCTGCTTTCTGCACTTTTATCGGGTCTAGTAATAATTAATGTCGTTTTTAAACATTCGTTTAAAATCTTGCTTGGCGCTGACTTGTATTGACATAACCTTCAAACACGTGGTATCTACAGAACGTGTGAAGTGCAATTAACAAGTTTTGCTTGAAAAAGTTTGTGTTTGGTTTGGTTTTTGTTGCAAAACTAGGGCTAAGAAGATAGCAGATGAAGAGCATATTCGGCACTGCATGCTTTACGAGTTCCAATTAGGAAGAAAAGCAAGTGAGGCTGCAAAAACATCTGTAGTGCTCTTGGTCAAGATGCAGTTAGCTCCAGAAAATGCCAGCGTTGGTTTGAGAAATTTCGCGAGGGAAATTTTTCGTTAGATGACAAGAGTGGTCGAGGCCGTGTGTCCAATTTTGATCAAGAAGCTCTTCAAGCTCTTTTGGTGCAAAATCCTCAAATTACCCAACAAGAGCTTGCAACAACTTTAAATTGTTCACAAAAAACAATTTCCAATCAATTGCGTGCACTTGGCAAAGTCCAAAAGTTTGGAAAATGGGTTCCTCATGAGTTGACCGACAACAACCGTAATCAAAGAGTCACAATTTGCAGTTCGCTCCTCTCTTGTCAAAACCGTTTGCCGTTTTTAGAGCAAATTGTTACCAGAGATGAAAAATGGGTGCTGTATGTTAATTTGAAAAGGCAGCCTCAATGGTTGGACAAAAATGAGGCTCCGCAGCCCACGCCAAAACCTGACTTGCATGCGAAAAAAGTGATGTTGTGTGTTTGGTGGAATTGTAAAGGAATTCTTCATTATGAACTTTTACCATCTAACCAAACCATTACAAGTGCAGTGTATAGTGCCCAATTGGAAAGGTTAGCCCAAGCTTTAAGAGAAAAAGAACCTGCGCTGATTAATCGGAAGGGCGTAATTCTTCACCACGGTAATGCACGACCGCATACTGCAAGAATCACTGCTGAAAAACTGCGCCAGTTGGAATGGGAAGTTCTCCCTCAACCCGCATATTCTCCTGATATTGCCCCTTCCGATTACCATTTGTTTCGTTCTTTGCAAAACTTTCTTCTTGGAAAAAAATTTAATAATGAAGAATGCCTCAAAAATGCATTGACCAAATTTTTTGCATCAAAATCACAAGAATTTTACAACAGAGGGATTAAAATGCTTCCTGAGCATTGGGCACAAGTAGTAGAAAACAACGGCAACTATATTGTTGATTAAATTTTGTTGTATTGTTTAAATAAATTCGATTAAAAAAAAATATTAGAAAACGACATTAATTATTACTAGACCTAATATATAGAAATATTCAATAAATATTTGTGTATTTGCTTAACACATTGTGGACGGATCACAAGAATTCTCCCTTCATATTACAGTGTTTTACAAAGTGTCATACTTTAAAAAGATATTAGCTTGTAAGAACATGTAATAAATAACTTTAAAACGCCATGGGTATTTACAGACAGTCCTTGGGTTACGGTGGACTCCATGTGAGTCATTTCATGGTTACGTCTCCATCTCCCATTTATTTATTAAAAAAAAAAAAAAGTTCCATCATTTCGATGTATGTACACGTGTGCTTTATGTTTTTTATTATTTATTTACCACAATTAAAGGTCAGGAATTATCTTTCTTTTAAATTTTTGTACTGTTTCACTTCATTCCTGCTGTGTGTGCTCCATGTGAGTGAGGTGGGTGCTTATGTGGGTGGGTTCCGACTCACAGTGAAAATTGCTGTACATCACCCGTAGAAGCGGATCTGCGACGTGACCCAAGGACCTACTCTGATTTTAAAGCGTGCCTTTAGCATTTATGTAACACATTTTTTGTACTTGTTCAGCAGAAACATATCTGACCACTGGGCAAAGCCAGCAATGAAACTACTGGTCCACAGTGTGTTTATTACAGTCACTTTGCTGGCTAACACAGTCTGTTCTCACGCTATCCTCGGGTATCGCTGCTTCCTTTGTGTATGCCTCCCTTCCCGTGTTGGAGAGGCGTGTCCTCTTCCCCAGAGAGAAAGAAATCACATGGATTTCTCTTCTTCCGGGGATGCCATCAGTGAACCTTGCGCCCTTGGCGTTTCTTTCGTAATGAAAATAAAATTGTAATGGGAGAATGAATCCAAGAATATGTTGATTAATGTGAATGTTTTATGTAAATTAAAAATGTTATAAGGGATTAAAAGTAACATTGACAATATTTTGTGGACAGAGTAAGATTTTAGTATTAGATTGTTTTTGAAATTATGTGTCCAAAATGTGTAATATATATAGGATAAGCATTCAGGTCAAATTGAGTTTCTCAAAAGTATTTTTTTTCTTTTTTAAAAAATTTTATTTCTTTTTAAAAATGTTTTTATTAAGGTATTATATGTGTACATATCTTACCATTGTCCCTCAAAAGTATTTTTAAAAAATATATTTTTATTGATTTAGAGAGAAAGAGAAAGGAAGAGATAGAAACATCAGTGATGAGAGAGAATCATTGATTGCCTGCTCTTGCATGCCCCCCACTGGGGTTCGAGCCCACAACCCCCCCTGACCAGGAATAGAACTGTAACCTTCTGGTTCATAGGTCGATGCTCAACCACTTGAGACACACTGGCTGTGCAAAGTTGTTGTTTTTTTGTTTTTTTTAAATGATATTAGTGGAGGTAAGCATCTACTTGATTACCCCTTAGAGATGCAAGAGAAATATGCAAAAATATTGTGAAAGGCTCACAATTCAACCCATAAATAGATCATAAGAACTGATGGTAAAAACACGAAGACATTGATAGATATATCCACAAAAAGTATGGACAATATACAAAAGAGAAGCAACACATTAAAGATGTTCAGTTTCACCTAGTAAACAGGGACTGCAGTTTAAAGTGAGATTGGCTCTGGCTGGTATCTCAGTGGTGATAGGGTGTTATCCTGTACACCGAAGAGGTCATGCGTTCGATTCCCGGTCAAAGGCAAGTCCTTAGTTGCAGGTTTGGGGAGTGTGTGGGAGGCAACCAATGGATGTGTCTCTCACATCAGTGTTTCTCTTTCTCTCTCTCCTCTCTCCCCCTCCTCCTTTCCCTCCCTCCACCTGCCTTCTTTCCTCCATCCCTTCCATTTTCTCTAAAAATCTATGGAAAAAATATCCTCAGGTGAGGAATAACAACAACAAAACTTAAAATACTGGTGAAAATCAAAAGCTGTGTAGAGAATAATATAAAGAACACTGATGTGCTGGCCAGTTTGGCTCGGTGGATAGAGCATTAGTCTGAAGGGTACCAGGTTTGATTCCTATTAAGGGCACATGCCTGGATTTTGGGCTTGATTCCTAGTGGGGGGCATGCAGGAAGCAGCCGATCAATAATTCTCTCTCATCATTAATGTTCTTATCTCCCTCTCCCTTCCTCTCTGAAATCAATTAAAAACAAAAACAAAAACAAAAAACACTGGTATCCCCCATCCCCACAATTAAAGAAAAGAAATTATAAATACAGGCTGAGGCTCTGAAACTCCTTCTGTAGCCCATTCCTGCCTTCCCCTTTAGAGACAACCATTACCTTGAATTTGGTAGTTTATTACATACGGTATGTGTTTTTGTATTCCCAACTCAGATTGTCTTTTTTAAAAATAAGTAAATTTGGTTAAAAAAATTTTTAATGTCATTCAGCAGTAGAAAGCAGTGAGACAGGAATTTTTACTACTGGTGGGAAGGAGTGGAAGCTGGAAGACTCAGTCTCAGTCTTGAGTTCCATGGCATTCTTAGTGAGGTAGATAAAAGCACCTTTCTCTGGGGTAAGAATGAGTGACAGCTTGTCAGTTCAGAGCCCTCATTAGAACATTAATTTCCTTCATTAACAAAAGTGTAGGTGCTAGTATTGGTGTAGCAGGCTTAAGTTAGCTTCGACAGCGCTGTGTCTGTGATATGACCTCTGTGTTTGATGTTGCAGAGCCATAGTGTTAGGAGGAGACTGGAGCGCAAAGAGCTTACTTGTCATGGGAGTAAGACAGGCCAGCATGTTTGCAGCACGCCCCCTTTTCACATTACTCGTTGTGTCTGATGTTAGTCAGTTATTTAACCTCTCCCTGCCCTGTTTGCGCCAGTTCTAGGTACTTCCACCATAATCAGCTTTTCTATAGACATCTTTGCGAGCATTTTCCCACAAACATTTTTGCCAAATAAATAATTGCCTCTAGGCAATTTTGCAATGAAAAAAGGTAAACTCATGGCAAATAAAAGGTACCTTTAAGAGCTTATAATGAAACATGAAAAAATGAATGAAAAAATAAAAAATCCTATTGTGAAATATGAAATAAATTCATTTAAAATGTGTGTAGATTTATGGCAATAATGTGTAAATAATGATTTTATCTTGTGGATTGTAACAAGCACTTGTCTTTATTCTGTGGGAAATGTATTCCCCCAAAGAATGCCCGCACCTTACTATGACTGACTTATTTCACTTAGCATGATACTCTGACTCCCAGTGTACTGTATTTTAAAATAAGAAACTGACTGTTGGAGCAAATCTGGAAGAAATGCTAATATTTTAAGACCCTTCCACATCTACTTAGTACTCTATAGGTCATTATGAGGGCTGGCTATGGTTTATATATAATACGAAAATGGGAGTAATAGCAAGAATTTCATCAATAGAGCAATAAAACCAAACAGTAACAACAACAAAAAAACCCGTACTTTCAACCGGTTATTTTACCTTTTTTACAGCAAAATTGCCTTATAGCCAGTTAGTTTTGCAGCCAAAATGCTTGTGACAAATATATACTGCAAAGACCTATGGCCGAAAATACCTGCCACAGTCTTTGTCGTTCAAATCACTTGAAAGGCTTATAGCCCGGCCAGTGTGGCTCCCTGGTTGAGCATTGACCCATGAACCAGGAGGTCATGGTTTGATTCATGGTCAGGACACATGCCCAGGTTTCCTCCAGGTTTCCAGCTCAATCCCTGGGAGGGGCATGCAGGAGACAGCCAATCAATGATTTTCTCTCATCATTGATGTTTCTGTCTCTTCCTTTTCTCTTCCTCTCTGTAAAATCAATTACAAACATTTTTTTTTAAAAGAAAAGACAATATAAATTTTGTTCTAAAAAAATTGTCTAGCCCTTGGTTGTAGGGCTCCTCCCTGGTCCAGACCCTGATCTGGGCCTGTGCAGGGGGCAGCCAATCAATGTGTCTCTCTTACATCAATGTTTCTGTCTGTCTTTCCCTCTCCTAATCTCCCTAAAAATCAATGGAAAAATACCCTCAGGTGAGGATTAACAATAAATAAATAAATAAATAAATAAATAAATAAATAAAGTACTATAAAAATAATTAAAACATTGCCTAGAGTAGACTGATACTGTTCATTATGGTAGCCACACGGGGCTGTCAAGCTCTTGAAACGTGCCCAGTCTGAGTTGAGATGTGCTATATAAATGTATACAATTGATAAATATTTTTACAAAGTAATTTCCTTATAAGTATAGTGTCCACCTGGCATCACACATAGTCATTTAGAGTAGTATTGACTACATTCTCTATGCTGTGCTTTATATCCCCATCTGTTTTGTAGCTGCTCATTCATACTTCGTCATCATTCACCTCTTTCAGTCCCCCAACCCCTTCCCTCTGGCAACCCTCAGTTTGTTACTGTATCTATGAAGTTTGTTTGTTTATTTTGTTCTTTAGATTCCACATATAAGTGAAGTAATATATTTGTTTTTCTCTGTCTGACTTACTTCATTTGGCATAATACCCTCTAGGTCCATCCATGTTGTTGTAAGTGGTAAGATTTTGTTCTTTTTTATGGCCAAGTTATAGTCCATCATATATACACCACTTTTTAAAAATATATTTTTTATTGATTTTTTTACAGAGAGGAAGAGAGAAGGATAGAGAGTCAGAAACATTGATGAGAGAAACATCGATCAGCTGCCTCTTGCACACACCCCCACTGGGGATGTGCCCGCAACCAAGGTACATGCCCTTGACTGGAATCGAACCTGGGACCCTTCAGTCCGCAGGCTGACGCTCTATCCACTGAGCCAAACTGGTTTCCGTTGTACCACCGATTTTTTTATCCAGTCATCTATTGATAACCACTAGATTGTTTTCATATATTGGCTATTGTAAATAACCTACTACAAACACGGGTACATACTATCTTTTCAAATTAATGTTTTGGATTTCTACAGAAAAATACCCAAAAATGGAATTGCGAGGAACTTTCATACTGTTTTCCATAGTGATTGCACCAATCTTTCTTTCCACCAACAGTGCATGCACAAAAATTCCTTTTTGTCCACATCCTCGACAATATTTGTTGTTTGTTGATTTATTGATGATAGCCATTCTGACAGAAATGAAGTGATAACGCATTCTGAATTAATTTGTATTTTTCTTTTAAAAAATATTTTTTATTGATTTCAGATAGGAAGGAAGAGGGAGAGAGAGATGGAAACATCAGTGATGAGAGAGCATGTTCCACACTGAGTTTTGTGCCCTGACAGGGAATCGAACTGTAACCTCAACCACAGATTCATAGGTCAATGACACTCAACCACTGAGCCATGCCTGACTGGGCATTAATTTGTATTTTTCTGATGATTAATGAAGTTAAGCATCTTTTCATATGTGTGTTAGCCATCTTTTCATATTCTAATTGGATTTTTTATGTGTGTGTGTTAAATTATGAGTTTCTTATCTGTTTGGGATATTAATCCCTTACTGGATATATTATTGGTGAATATTTCTCCCAATTAGTATGTTGTTTTTTGGTTTTGTTAGTGGTTTCATAAAAACACTTAAAAAAAAACTTTATTGTTGAAAGTATGAAATATGTCTCCTTTCCCCCCATTCAACTCCTCCAGCCTACCCATGCTGTTTGCCTCCCAGGCTCTCACCACCTAATTGTCCGTGTCCATGGGTGATGCATGTATATATATTCACCAGGTCTCTGGTTGATTATCTCCCACCCACCCACCCTGCCCTGCCTTCTTTGTGAGATTCCGCACTCTGTTCCATGCTTCTATGTTTCTGGATCCACTCCTTTCATTAGTTTATTTTGTTCATTAAGATTCCACATATGAGTGCGATCATGTGATACTTGTCTTTCTCTGACTGGCTTATTTCACTCAGCATGATACTCTCCAGGTCCCTCCATGCTGTCTCAAAGGGTAAGAGCTCCTTCTTTTTACTGCTGCACAGTATTCCATGGTGAAAATGTACCACAGCTTTCTATCCACTCATCTGCTGATGGGCACGTGGCTGTTTCCAGATCTTAACTATTATAAATTATGCCGCTATGAACTCAGGGTACATACATTCTTTCTGATGGATGTTTTGGGTTTATTAGGATATATTGCTAGAAGTGGGGTCACTGGGTCAAATGGCAGTACCATATTTAATTGTTTGAGGAAGCTCCATACTGTTCTCCACAGTGGCTGCACCAGCCTGCATTCCCACCAGCAGTGCACTAGGATTCCCTTTTCTCCACATCCTCGCCAGCACTTGTCATTGGTTGATGATAGCCATTCTGACAGGGGTGAGGTGAATCTCATTTTAATTTACATCTCTCTGATGACCAGTGACTTTGAGCATTTTTTCATTTGTCTCTTAGCCGTCTGTGTGTCAATCTTGGAGAAGGATCTTTTTAGGCCCTTTGCCCGTTTTATAATTGGATTGTTTGACTTCCTTTTGTTAAGTTATATGATATATATGATATATATATGTATATATATATCATATATATCATATACATCTATATATATCATATATATAATATCATATATATGATATATATGATATCATATATATCATATGTATATCATATCATATATCATATATATGTTAATATATATATCATATATATCATATATATGTTAATATCATATATATTTATGATATTAACCCTTTACCAGATGTATTATTGCCAAATATGTTCTCCCTTTTCATTTTGTTGACAGTTTCATTTGCTGTGCAGAAGCTTTTAATTTTGATGTCCCATTTGTTTATTTTCTCCTTAGTTTCATTTGCCCTTAGAGATGTATTCATAACATATTGCTATGAGAGAGGTCTGAGATTTTGATGCCTATGGCTTCTTCTAGGATTTTTATGGTTTCCCGACTTACATTTAGGTCTTTCATCTATTTTGAGTTTATTCTTGTGTATTGTGTAAGTTGATAGTCTAGTTTCATTTTTTTTCCATGTATCTGTCCAATTTTCCCAACATCATTTATTGAAAAGACTGTCTTGACTCCATTGTATACTCTTGCCTCCTCTGTTAAATATTGAGTATAATGGTTTGAGTCAATTTTGGGGGTCTCTGTTCTGTTTCATTGATCTGTTCTTGTGCCAGTACCAGGCTGTTTTGGTTACAGAGCTTTGTAATATAACTTGATATCTGGTATTGTGATTCCTCCAACTTCGTTCTTCTTTCTCAAGATTGCTGCAGCTACTTGGGGTCTTTTTTGATTCCATATAAATTTTTGGAGTATTTGTTCTAGATCTGTGAAATATGTCATTGGTATTTTAACAGGGATTGAATTGAATCTATATATTGCTTTGGGTAGTATGTACATTTTAATTTGTTTATTCTTTCACTTGTTTATATCTCCTGTCTCTTTTTTCAATATCCTGTAGTTTTCCAAGTACAAGTATTTTACCTCCTTGGTTAAGTTTATTCCTAAGTGTCTTAATTTTGTTGTTGTAATGGTAAATGGGATTGCTTGTTTAGTTTCTCTTTCTGATTACTCATTATTGGTGTATAGAAAAGCTATCCTGCTACATGGCCAAATTCTTTTATTAAAATCTAGTAGTATTTTGGTGGAGTCTTTAGGGTTTTTTTATGTACAATATCACATCATTAGTGAAAAATGAGAATTTTACTTCCTCCTTTCCAATTTGGATGCCTTTTATTTCTTCTTATTGTCTGATCACTCTGGCTAGGGCTTCCAGTACTATCTCTATATAAAGAGTCAGGGTCCGTAACATCCAAAACGACCAAAGGGATGACTAAATGCCACGCTGCATGCACAGCAAGCTTGGGTGGGTGAAGACTGGCAGGTGGGCTGAACTGCTGACCTCTCTGAGAGAGAGACAGAGAGAGACAGACAGACACATGGGGCTGATCAGCAGCAGCCATGGCTGCTGGTGAGTACTGGAGAGAACAGCAGGTCTGATCTGCAGCCTCCGTGGCAGCTGCTGATTAGCCTCTCTTTCTCTGGGACTTGTCAGCAACCATACCCCCCTCCCCCACCTCTCAGAGATCTGAAGTTCAGCCCATTCACCAGCAGCCTGGGATGGCTGCTGATCAGTCCTGCCTTTCTGATCAGGTCCAGAGATAGGCCCAGAGATGCTCTCTGGCATAGAAACCGACCAATCAGAACCAAATCTGGGTGAAAAGCAAGGAACCAGTGGCTGCCTAGGAGGTGGAGCTGTTGATGCTGACTGGCATAGAAACTGACTGGGGTGAACTGTGAAGGCAGAACCTAAGGTGGGGGCTGAGGAGGGGTTTTAAGAGCAACAGCTGTTTGGTGTAAGGTGTAAGAAAGTGGTTCAATTTTTTAATGACTGGTGTGTCATTATATTGCATATGGCTGGCTATCAGTCCAGATATAGATAGGGATTATGTGTTTTGTTTGCCAAGAGCATCTCCTCCTACTGAAAAAGGTCCCCCACCCCCATTTAAGCAATCCTATCCTATATAACCTATATATACTGATAAAAGGGTAATATGCTAATTAGACCAGATTGACCAGCCATCGTCTGGACAAAGCCATGGTAGTGGGGCCTAAGGCAGAGGCTGTTAGGGGAGATCAGGCCAGCAGGGGAGGGCCGTTGGGGGAAAGATCAGGCCAGCAGGGGAAGGCAGTTAGGGGCAATCAGGCAGGCAGAGGAAGTTTGGGGTGATCAGGCAGGCACGTGAGCAGTTAGGAACCAGCTGTTAAAGATTGCAAACCAGCAGTCACACGGATCAGGCCTAAACTGGCAGTTGGATATCCCCCAAGGGACCCCCTGATTGAGAAGGGTAGCGGCTGGGGTGAGAGACATCTCCCCCCCCCCCCCCCCCCATGCACGAATTTCATGCACTGGGCCATTAGTGCTGAATGAGAGTGGTGAAAGTGGACATTCCTGTCTTGTTACTATTTTTAGGGGACATGCTTTTAGTTTTTGCCCATTGGGAATGATGTTGGCTTTAGATTTGTCATGTTGAGATATGCACCCTCTGTCCCCATTTTGCTGAGAGTTTTAATAAAAAATGGGTGTTGAATTTGACGAATGCTTTTTCTACGTCTATTGATATGATCATGTGATTTTTGTCTTTCAATTTGTTTATGTGATGTATCATGTTTATTGATTTGCAACTATTGCACCAACCTTGCATCCCTAGAATAAATCACAGTTGGTCATGGTGTATGACCTTTTTAATATATTGCTGGATCTGATTTGTTGAGGATTTTCACATCTGTGTTCATCAGGGATATTGGCTTGTAATTTTCTTTATAGTGTCTTTATCTGGTTTTGGAATTAGGATAATGCTGGCCTCATTAAAAGAGCTTGGAAGTATTCCTTCCTCTAGAATTTTTTTTTTGAACAATTTAAGTACCCTGTTTTCCCAAAAATAAGACAGTGTCTTATATTAATTTTTTCTCCCAAAGTTGCGCTAGGTCTTATTTTCAGGGGATGTCTGATCTTTCCATGAGCTAGATCTTATCTTCGGAGGATGTCTTATTTTCGGGAAACACGGTAATACATGTGTTTTCTTCCTTGAATGTCTGGTAAAACTTCCCTATGAAACCATCTGGACCTGGGCTTTTGTTTGCTGGGAGTTGTTTTTATTATTGCTTCTATTTCGTCAGTTGTTATTGGCCTATTCGGGTTTTCTGGTTCTTCCTGATTCAGTTTTGGGAGATTGCATTTTTCTAGGAATTTTTCCATTTCATCCACATAGTCTAGCTTGTTGGCATATAGATGTTAATAGTATTTTCTTACAATCCTCTATTTCTGTGGTGGTTTGTTTCTGATTTTATGTATTTGGGTCCTCTCTTTGTTTCTTGACGAGTCTGTAACGGTTCATCAGTCTTGTTTATCCTTTCAAAGAACCAGATCTTGGTTTCATTAATTTTTTTGTATTGTTATTTTAGTCTCTATCTCATTTATTTATGCTCTAACCTTTATTATTTCCTTTCTTCTATTTACTCTGAACTTTTCTTGTTCTTTCTTTTATTTAAAAAATTAATCTTTATTGATTATTATTACAATAATTTCTCCTTTTCCCCCACAAAGCTCTCCACCCAGTTCCCACCCCACCCTCTGCCCTTACTTCTCCCCGAACTGTCCTCATCCATAGGTATACAATTTTTGTCCAATCTCTTCCTGCACCCCCTTTACCCATTTCCTCTTGAGAATTATCAGTCCAGTCCCTTTCTATGCCCCTGATTCTATTATATTCACTAGTTTATTCTGTTCCTCAAATTTTTAATGCACTTGATTTTTGGGTTCACTTGTTGCTAGGTATGTATTTGTTGTTCATAATTTTTATCTTTACCTTTTTCTTCTTCCTCTTCTGAAAAGAATACCTTTCAGCATTTCAGATAATACTGGTTTGGTGGTGATGAATTCCTTTAGCTTTTTCTTATCTCTGAAGCTCTTTATCTGACCTTCTGTTCTGAATGATAACTTTGCTGGGTAGAGTAATCTTGGTTGTAGATTTTTGCTATTCACCACTTGCCATTCCTGTCTGGCCTGCATAGTTTCTATTGAGAAATCAGCTGACAATTGTATGGATGGTCCCTTGTAGGTAATTAACTGTCTTTCTCTGGCTGCTTTTAAGATTCTCTCTTTATCTTTTGCCTTTGGCATTTTAATTATGATGTGTCTTGGTGTGGTCCTCTTTGGATTCCTTTTGTTTGGGGTTCTCTGCGCTTCCTGTTCTTGTAAGTCTATTTCTTTCAACCAGGTTGGGTAAGTTTTCAGTCATTATTTCTTCAAATAGGTTTTCAGTATCTTGCTCTCTCTCTCTTCTTCTGGCACCCCCATAATTCTGATGTTGGTACGTTTGAAGTTGTCCCAGAGACTTCTTACACTGTCTTCAAATTTCTGGATTCATTTTCCTTTTTTCTTTTCCAGTTGAGTGTTTTTTGCTTCTTTGTATTTCGAATCTTTGACTTGACTCTTGTGTTCCTCTAGTCTTCTGTTGGGTCTCTGTACAATATTATTTGGGTCAGTGTATGTTTAATTTCTAGTTGGTACTTTTTCATATCCTCGAGAGTCTGAATTTATCAGCCTTTTCTAGGAAATTCTTGAAAAACCTTATAAATGTGGTTTTGAATTCTATATCCAGTTGTTTATTTTTCTCCATTTTTTTCATTTGTGATCTGTTACTTTGTCTCCGCATTTTCGCTGCTTCCCTGAATTGGTAGGGTAGCTTTGTGTGGTAGGTTTCCTGTATGGCCCAGTGGGTCAGCCTCCCCAGTCACCTGAGGTGGACACTCTCAATGCACCCCTTTGTGGACTGTGTGTACAGCCTTGTTATACAGTAGTTAAGTCTTGATTGTTGTTGGTATCACTGGGAGGAATTGACCTCCAGAGCAATTGACTGTGAGGATCAGCTGTGTCTATGCCGGGAGACCTATGCTGGACACAGCCTTATAGGACCAGACTTGCAAAATTGCAAAAGCCTTTGCACTCAGCTTGGATGTGGCAGAGTCTCAGAGCTGAGCCGACAGTCTTGGCTTCCCGTCAGCCCTGCCTTTGCATGTGCACCTCCAGACCTCTGCCTTCCACACTCCCCTGAGTTTCCCCCTGACAGTCCAGATTCTCCCAGGCTCACCCGGAACTGGGGTTCAGTGCAGTCAGGAGCTTCTGACTCCCTTCCACTAGGGAGAGCTAGCAGCAACCTCTACAGACAGTCATATGCACTCATGCGTGTGTGCCTCCAGACCGCTGCCCTCTGCAGCCTCCTCTCCAAGTCTCTGTGTGCCTCTCTCTCTACCTGACAGTCCAGAATCCACCCCCCTTCCCCCCATATGAGCCTTGGTCCACGGTGTCTCGCCCAGAACTGGGATTCAGGGCAGTGTAGGAAGTTGTTTGATGATGTGGGCAAAGCTTATACTTGGACAAGAAGGCAGAATATAGGAAACTACATGAAAACATGAATAATTCAGAGAAAATGACTTTAAATAGATGAGAACTCGTTTAGAACAGCTGAAAGAGACTCTCCAAGTCAGTTCTTAGTGTAGAAAAGGTAGCTAAGATCTGGGAAATCCTTAATTCGAGTTAAGATCACATGAAACACTGTATGAATCCTATATTGTTTACTTAAAGGAGCCTAGAGTGGTAAATGTGTGTCATACAAGGCAGAATACCATTGAAATAGAGAAAGAAACAAGTTCGGCAGCTTTGGAAAGCCTTACACTTCACTGCAATGTAGTACTACACTCTATAACATAGTTGAGAGACAATGTTCCTGAGCTGCTTCTGTTCATAACACTGTGTAGGAAGTTGTTTGATGATGTGAGCCAGGCGTCTTCAAACTATGGCCCGCGGGCCACATGCGGCCCGCAGAGGAGTCTGATCCGGCCCGCCAGGTTTTTTGGGCAGTGAGCGCAGCCGAGGTGTTACAGTAGGAATTAGTAGTTCATATAGTCCGGCCCTCCAGCTCTCTGAGGGACTGTGATCTGGCCCCCACTTTAAAAAGTTTGAAGACGCCTGGTATAGATAGCTAGTTCATTGCCATCTTAATTCTGTATGCCTCGGTTTCTCTCTGTCATCTTCTCATTACAGCAGTCCTTTAGCATTTCTTATAATGCTGTCTTGGTGATGATGAACTCCTTTAGTAGTTGTTGTTGTTGTTGTTGTTGTTGTTGTTGTTGTTCTTCTTCTTCTTCTTCTTCTTCTTCTTCTTCTTCTTCTTCTTCTTCTTCTTCTTTTTTGTCTTGGAAGCTCTTTATTTCACTATTTTGAATGATAGCCTTGCTGGATATAGTAATCTTGGTCTCAGATCCTTGCTTTCCGTTACCCTGAGTACTTCGTGCCATTCCCTTCTGGCCTGGAGAGTTTCTGATGAGAAATCAGGTGTCAGCCTTATGGGAACTCCTTTGTAGGTAACAGTTTGATTTTCTCTTACTGCCTTTAAGATTCTCTATCTTTAATTTTTGACATTTTAATTATGATTTATCTGTACATGGGCCTGTTTGGGTTCTTCTTGCTTGGGACTCGGTGTACCTCCTGACCTTGTGTGACATTTTCCTTAATCAGGTTAGAGGAGTTTTCTACTGTTATTTACTCAAACATGTTCTCTATTCTTTTCTCCCTTTCTGCCTCTACTGGCACACCTGCTATGTGAATATTGTTATGTTTCATGTTGTCCCACAGCTCCCTTCAACTGTCCTGTTTTTTTTTTTTTTTTTTTTCACTCTGATTGAGTGATTTTTTTCAATCCTGTCTTCTAATTCACAGATTTGATCCTCAGCTTCCTCTAATCTGCTGTGTATTCCTTCCAATGTGTTCTTTATTTGTGCTCTGTCATTCTTTATATTTTCATAGTTACTATATCTTTTCTCATGTTGTTGAGCATCTTTACCATCATTATTCTGAACTCTATATCAGATAAATTTCTTAACTCCATTTTATTTATCTTTTCTGAAGAATTCTCTTGTTCTTTTCTTTGGGGTTGTTTTTTGTTTTCTCATTTTGAGTGCCTGTTTACATTTGTGACTATATATTAGGTAGATCTGTTACACCTCCCAATCTTAAATGCTAGACAATGCCAAATGCTATTTCTGACTAATTAGATTAAGCAAAGCCTCCAGAGACTGCCTCTGCTTACAGACTTATTGGATTTAGACTTGAATAGCCCTCAGGCAATTGTCCACAGGTTTGGTGAGAGTTTTTCCTAACAGGGTGGGGCGATTACTTCATGAGGTCAACTGCATGCCTTATTTATTGGCCTCGAGGCTAATTATTATTCTCAGTCTCTTAATGGGCCTCCACAAGTCCACACCACAGGGTAAGGTGTTTTCCAACATGGTGGGTCATCTGTCTTCCCCCCAGGCAAAACCATCTAGATAGCAATTGTCTTCATGAGAAAGATGACCTGTGCGGTAAGAGGAAATGACTCAGCACAGGAAACCCAGGTGCTGCCTTCTGAGCTCTAGCCCCAGAGCCCCCAACCCTAGCTTCTGCTGGCACAGCTCCAGACCACTCTGCCCTCCCTCTATGTGTGTGGCTGCACGGGGAATTTTATGTGTTGGCCCTTTTAAGAGGGTGCCTGCATTTCCAGCCATCTCTTTCTAGCAGACAGCAACGCTGCTGCTTTTCACAGCCAGGTGTTATGTGGGTACCCTTCTCAGTTCTGGTGCTCTTTGTTGGGGGGCCCAATTTGGGGCAAAGACTCCAGAGTTCTCAGTGGCAACCCCCCACAGCTGAGATGTCCCTCCAAACTTCAGTTGCGTCTGTGGGTGCCCAGCCCGCCCTTTGAGCCTCCTCCCCTCCTCTGTGTGGTCTCCACTCTCCATCCTTGGTTATCAGGGTTCTCTTCAGTGAGTCTTGAGTTTATTATTCAGGAAGTTTTTCTGTATTTTAGTTGTAATTCCAGTTAGGCCCTGGAAGCGTGTCCATGCAGCATCCACTTACTCCGCTGCCATTTTTAATCTTACTAAAAACACTTTATAGTTCGATGTACTACCATTTGTTTAGTCCTACTTTTGTTTCCTTAGCCTAAGGAGATATGTCAGAAAAAAAAAAAAGCCTACACTAATGAAAGAGTAAGATGCAGATTGACTGTACATTCACAATAACCACCAGCCAATCAGGAGTGGGTATGCAAATTAACCCAACAAAGATTGTGGGTTAATTTGCATACACAGGCAGCGCCCCAGTTGTTCCAGGCCTCTGGGCAGCATGGGAAGGTGGAAAGGCAGCTCTAGCTGGAGCGAAGGCAGCAGGGGAAGGGAGGCCTATTCTTGCACGAATCTTCATGCATCGGGCCTCTAGTGTTTAATAATGTCAAGGAGTTTTTTTGTTTGTTTTTTTTTTCTTCATTCTTTTTTTTTATTTTTTTATTTTTACATATTTTATTAAATTTTTTTTTTTTGCCCCTCTCTCTCCCTCCCAAACATCCCCTCCCTCCCCAGAGTTTTGTGTCCATTGGTTGTACTTATATGCATGTATACAAGTCCTTCGGTTGATCTATTATCTCCTCCAGATCTTCCTCCCCTCCCCACTGTTAAGGAGTTCTTTTTTTTAAAAATTTTATTTATTGATTTGAGAGAGAGGGAGGGAGGGAGAAAGGGAGAAAAAAAGAGGGAGGGAGGAAGGAAGAAAGGAAGAAAGCATTTCTTTTAAAATTTATTTATTGATAATTTTTTTCTCCAGTGAACTAATTCTTTTTTCTTTTAAAATATATTTTATTGATCTTTTACAGAGAGCAAGGGAGAGGGATAGAGAATTAGAAACATCGATGAGAGAGAAACATTGATCAGCTGCCTCTTGCACACCTCCTACTGGGAATGTGCCCGCAACCAAGGTACATGCCCCTGACCGGGATTGAACCTGTGACCCTTGAGTCCACAGACTGACACTCTATCCACTGAGCCAAACCGGTCAGGGCATGTCAAGAAGTTTAATGCCTATGTTTTCTTCTTTTGCTTCCCTTGCCTGAGGAGGTATGTCCAGAAAAAATGTTTAGCAATGTCAGTTTACTACCCATGTTTTCTTCTAGGTGTTTCATAGTTTGGGGTCTGATATTTAGGTCTTTAATCCATTTGGAGTTTATTCTTATATGTTATAACAAGGTGGTCTAGTTTCATTGTTTTAAGGGAGCTACCTTGTAGGTAACCAACTGCCTTTCTCTTCCTGCTTTTAAGTTTCTCTTTTTGTCTTTATTCTTTGCCATTGTAATGTGATGTGTCTTGATGTGGGCTTCTTTGGGTTCATCTTCTTTGGGTCTCTGTACTTCCTGAACTTTTTTGTCTGTTTTCTTGAAGGTTAGGGGAAGTTTTCAGGCATTATATCTTCAGATAAATTCTCAATGCCTCTACTCCTCTGGTACCCCTGTGATGCAGATGTTGTCACTCTCAATGTTGCCTTAGAGGTCCCTTAATGTATCCTCATTTTTTAAAAAGTTCTTTTTTTTTTCTTTTTGCTGTTCTGATTGGGTGTTTTCTTTTTCTTTTTTTAAATGTTTTTAAGATTTTTTTTTTTTTTTAGATTTTTAGGGAGAGTGTTAATGTTATTTTTAGCTTCTTTATCTTAATTGCTGATGTAAAGGTTATGTAGAACATATTCTAGAGTTATATGGATGATTTAGAGTTTCAGTGAATTATACTTGTGACTTTTATTTTTTTAACTTTTATTTATTGATTTATTTTAGAGAGCAAGAAAGGGAGGGAGTGGGGAGAGAGAAACATCAATTTGTTGTTCCATTTATTCATTGGTTGATTTTGTATGTGCTCTGACTGAGGATCAAACTGCAACTTTGGCATATCAGGACAGCACTCCACCCACCTGAGCTACCTGGCCAGGGCTACTTGTGACTTTTAGATTCATTGCAATAGGAGTTTGTATTTGTGTACTTGACTGTATTTGAGTACTTATCTAAAGTCTTCATTATTAAATGTGCCGTCCTGTTTGTCGCAGAAATCCAGTGTGGTTGGTCTGTTTTCAGCTTTATATGGATGTGGGGTGGGCTCAGTGGGGTCATCTTCCAGGGTCACACAGAACGCAGGGGAGGAACTAGGATCTGAGCAAAGGCAACCTGACTCCAAACCAAACTGTTAATGAAGCATTATACAACCCAGCGTGCATATAGAAACACTACAGTGTTTGCTTACTGGATAACAACTGTCCTCAAAAATAGCATTCCTGTTACCTTTTATAGCAGTGAAAACAGGTTAAAACATCTCTTCTTAAAGGTGTCTTTAGTTATAAAGATTATGTGGTGGGACAGGAGTGTGAGGCAGATGTGGGAACACAACAGACTCCTGACAGGTCTCAGTGACAGTAATGGCCAACTCTCTCCATTCAAGGATTTCACCTGCTTTAAGCTTGTGCTCATAAAATGGTTGGAATTAAATGTGGACATTGACTCAGATATTTGACTAAAATGAAGGGGAACTTATTATTTGGCTTGTAGAGGGGACTCACGTTTGCTGAGCACCTGTTATATTGAGGGAAATGAGAAAGGAAAAACAAAAATGAACACCAGTGAAAACAAGATGCAAACATAAATCAGTTCCCTTTACAACAAACTAATTAAACTTTTGAGATATTTAATATCTCTTCAGAGACTTAAATTACTAAAGTAAAAGAAAGGGGAGAAAATTTGAATCCAGTTTTTTCCATGGTCTCCTTAGCAACTCACTTCTATTGCTGGCATGTACAGATGGTATTTGATTTTTCGTGGTTAAACATTTATGCGACTCCTTTCCTACCAGCTAAAGGAACTCTCAGCGAAGATACCATCAGAGTGTTTCTGCATCAGATTGCAGCTGCCATGCGAATTCTGCACGGCAAGGGCATCATCCACAGGGATCTCAAGCCACAGAACATCTTGCTGTCTTACGCCAATCGCAGGAAGTCTGGTGTCAGTGGTATTCGCATCAAAATAGGTAAATGGCTGTGCACTGTTTCATGCAAAGAACATTTTTGAGTCTCTGTTTTTAGATAATTATAGTTCATCTTTGTTAGAATGAGTGAGTTTGTTGATGCACTTTGAAAGTTTTTATTGAGTTCAGTGAGGTATGAGATAGTGAACACTTTACATTACTGGCACCATATGCTAAATTTTGCACAGGGGCTCAGATTAGGAATTCCAACAGGAAATACTGTTCCTCCTCCTCCAAGGGAAGTTATAATCCAGTTCTTGGTGTTGGTGGCAAAGTTATAATCCAGTTCTATAACTCATGGAATTTTAACATATGAAATCTAAGAAGCCCTGACCAGTTTGGCTTAGTGGGTAGAGCGTCAGTCTGTGGACTGAAGGGTCCCAGGTTCAGTTCCGGTCAAAGGCATGTACCGTGGTTGCGGGCACATCCCCAGTAGGAGGTGTGCAAGAGGCAGCTGATCGATGTTTTTCTCTCATTGATGTTTCTAATTCTCTATCCCTCTCCCTTCCTCTCTGTAAAAAATCAGTAAGATATATTTTTTAAAAAAGAAGAAATCTAAGAGACCATTTAGTTTAACCTTATTTGGCAGGTTTTTTAGTGCTCTTGGATCTCAAAATTATTTGAAGCAGTTTGTAATGCTAGATTTTAAAAAAAACTTTTTTTAATGGTTTTTAGAAAAATAATTTTTTAGCAATATTTTAAAATTTTCTAATGTTATATTGGTTGCATCTCATATCTGCTGGACAAAAACAGTTCAAATTCTACACCTGGTATTGATATTTAATGAGAGCTATGTTAATTAATTATTTATTATAATTAGCATTTTCCCTTGTAAAGCTTGGTGCTTGATCTCCTTGGTTACAAAATTGGCACAGCACTGACTTGTACAATTGCTGACTACTACTATTTCTTAGCTTGTCAAAATTGAAGTAGCTACTTTTTCTTTGGTAAACAGTCTTATTTATTGGCTGTTAATTTCTTTTGTGCCCTCTTGTCTCCTGAAGAATTACATGATCTTTGTTAAGTGAGCAAAAGTATCATTTGTTTTTCTCCTTTTTATTTTGTGAAATAGCGGATTTTGGTTTTGCTCGTTACCTACATAGTAACATGATGGCTGCAACACTGTGCGGATCCCCAATGTACATGGTGAGTGAGTGTCGTGTTCTTGCGTGTTTACAGCCATAGCATGGTATGTATAACGCTTGTTCCCAAGTAGGATATCAGTTTTTAGAGTCTGAATTGTTATTTATGCCACTTACATTAATTATGTTACTGATAATGCTATAACACAGACACCTTTTGCTTTGGCACAGTGGACTGTAAAAGTTAGTTCTCTTTGCCCTTTGGTTTTAATTTTATCTTTTAATTAGTTATTGACCTGGCCAATCTGACTCGGTTGAATGCCGTCCTGTGCACCAAAATGTCACAGGTTCCATTCCTGTCAGGGCACATGCCGGGTTTCAGGCTTGATTCCCAGTAGGGGATATGCAGCAGGCAACCCATCAGTGTACCTCCCATTGATGTTTCTCTCTTTTTCCCTTTCTCTCTAAAATAAATGAATAAAAAATACTTAAAAATAAGTTAAAATTAATTATTGTAGTAGAAATTTCCTACTATTTTAAAATGAAAATAAAAATTGATGAAGTATCATCATGCCATACTTGATGTGTAATATTAAGAATACTTACAAAACACCTTTTGGGTTGGGGAATCTCTTCAGCTATAGGATATGTTAATTTTTTGCATGTTGTCTTTCTTGATGAGATCCCTATATTGTAGAAGCTTTTTTACTCAGTGTCACACTTAAAAGCCGAACAATCTTAGCTTTCCTTTTTATTTTTTCACTAGTGGCCTAGTGCATGAAATTTTTGCACACTAAAAGGGAATTAATTAGAGGAAATATTTTAATATAGCTATTTGTCCTTTCACTATAATAAAAGTTTTAGAGATGAAAGAAAATTAGTAAAATGTATATGAAAATCTTCCTCCTTGTCAGAGTTTGGGGTGCACCGTGAGACCCAGAGTCAAGTCCCCACCCTCGAAATTACACGAGACCCAGACTCGGCCGGCCCCACCTCCAACAAGCCCTGCCAGGCGGGGGGCGCAGCCTCAGGTTCTCCGTGCACCCTCATGGGGCAGGGGGCCTGGCCTAAGGTCCCCAGCCTGTCACTGGGGCGGTGGGCGGGCCTTGAGTTCCCCAGTTAAGCTGTGCCTGGCAGGGGGCATGGCCTGAGATTCCCCGTCAAGCCCCGCTGGGCAGGGTGCCCAGCCTCAGATCCCTGCTGATTGCTCATTACAGCTTGTTATGGGAACCCTGCGTTCGTTGTGGGTGCAGCCATCTTGTGATGGCATTATGGTGTGAGGGTCAAATTTGCATATTACCTCTTTTTTATATAGGACATGCATATTGCTAGGTCTGATGGGGTTAAGCTATGAAACTTCTAAACTAATGTGAAGTATTAAGCCTAGAAATATCCTTTGTAGTAAATAAATGTACCTGTTTCAATTCTAAGTTTAAAATGGATTTATTTCTAATTAGGATTTTGTCTCATCTAAAATCAACTTTGAAATCAAGGGAACTAGTAATCAGAGTTCAAAAAAATTTTTACATTAGATTTACTTTTTTTTATCATAATTTCACTGCTTATATACAAAATTATTAATTTAATATAATTTAGAAGTTATTTTGCACTTGTTGAGTATGAAATTAGTCCAGCCATGGGTTAATAGCTTTAAGGGTAGAGAGAGTGCTTAAGCTGATTTTAAAAAATATATATTTTATTGATTTTTTACAGAGAGTAAAGGAGAGAGATAGAGAGCTAGAAACATATATGAGAGAGAAATATCGACCAGCTGCCTCTTGCACACCCCCTACTGGGGATGTGCCCGCAACCAATGTACATGCCCTTGACTGGAATCTAACCCGGGACCTTTCAGTCTGCAGATTGACACTCTACCACTGAGCCAAACCGGTTTCGGCTTAAGCTGATTTTTAAAGGAAATTGACTCAACAAGAAATTTACAAGGGACAATAAAAATTTTATGCCTGGAAAATAAAATTTCACTATCTTTTTTTTTTTTTTTTTAATATATTTTATTGATTTTAAACAGGAACTGAGAAGGATAGAGAGTTAGAAACGTCGATGAGAGAGAAACATCGACCAGCTGCCTCCTACACACCTCCCACTGGGGATGTGCCCTCAACCGAATTGAACCCAGGACCTTTCAGTCCGCAGGCCAATGCTCTATCCACTGAGCCAAACCGGTTTCGGCAAAATTTCACTATCTTAAATATATTTCACATTTCTGTTTAATGCTTATCCTGATTGATGGTATTTTTAAAAAGCAGCATTAAGTGAGAAGTGAAAAAATAGCTGTAGCAAAGCAGCAGAGAAATAAATGCCTTTGTTTTTTAAGATAATTTTATTGTGTTTTGTAGTACAGTTTTTCTGTTGTTTTAAAAGCTTTCAAGTGACAGAGAAAAGGTATATTATAGCAAACACTTGTGTCCCTACCACCTAAATTTAACAAAGTTAACATTTGCCATGTTTGCCTTCAAGTAAAATATTTCAGAGACGGTCCAAGTTCCTATTGTACCTGTCCCTTTTCCCATGTCCCACTCTTATACTCTCTTCTCCCAGAAGTAACCCCTATCCTGTAATTGCTATGTGTGTTTCTTTATTATTTTAGTATTCTTACTATATTTCATAATATATAGAAACTAGAGGCCCGGTGCACGAAATTCATGCACGGGATGTTTGGGGGTGTCCCTCAGCCCAGTCTGCACTCTCCAATCTGGGACCCCTTGAGGGATGTCCGACTGCTTGTTTAGACAGGATTGGGCCTAAATGGACAGTTGGACATCCCTCTCACAATCCAGGACTACTGGCTCCCAACCGCATGCCTACCTGCCTGATTGCCCCTAACCACTTCTGCCTGCTAGCCTGATCACCCCCTAACCACTTCTGCCTGCCAGCCTGATCACCCCCTAACCACTCCCCTGCCAGTCTGATCAAAGCCTAACTGCTCCCCTGCCAGTCCAATTGCCCCTAACTGCCCTCCCCTGTGGGCCTGGCACGCCCCCCCCCCCCAACTGCCCTCCCCTGCAGGCCTGGTCATCCCTAAGTGCCCTCCCCTGCAGGCCTGGTCCCCCCCCCCCCCCCCCCCCCCCAGCTGCTCTCCCCTACTATCCTGGTCCCTCCCAACTGTCCTCTCCTGTAGGCCTGGTCCCCCCCAACCGCCCTGGCCTGCAGGCCTGGTCCCCTCCAGCAGTCCTCCCCTGCAGGCCTGGTCTCTTTCCTTCCCCCCCCCCCCAATTGCCCTCCCCTGCAGGCTTGGTTGCCCCAACTGCCCTCCCCTGCAGGTCATCTTGTGGTGGCCATCTTGTGTGCTGGAGTGAGAGTCAATTTGCATATTACCTCTTTATCATACAGAATGCTTGTTTCTACAACTTATTTTCATGCAACATTGTTTTTGAGATTTACCAATAAATGTCAGTGTAAGAAAGTATTGTAGTTCTGTATTCAGTAGTTTCATTTTAATTAGGAAAATATCACAATGTTTTGTGTTTATTTTAGTAGGGTTTTTTTTCAGTTAACTAATATGTACATATTAATTATGTAAATAACATAATGCTCTCTCTTGCACTTTCTTACCACAGGCTCCTGAGGTTATTATGTCTCAACATTATGATGCTAAGGCAGACTTGTGGAGCATAGGAACAGTAATATACCAATGCCTCGTTGGAAAACCACCTTTTCAGGTACTCTGACTTTTTCTTATGTGCTCAGTGTTGGGATCTTCTCATTTTGCCTTTGACTTATAAAATGGAGAATACCTTGAAAGCAGTGTTTTTTGTTCCTTTGTGACATATTTTAATTTAGTTACAGGCAAAAACTACTGTAGTGAGCCAAAACATTTTTTTTTATTTTTATCTGCCTTTCCTTTGTAGTTGGAATGAGCCCATTACAGGTTTTCCAGGGTCGTGGTCGGCAAACTGTGACTCGTGAGCCACATCAGCTCTTTGGCCCCTTGAGTGTGGCTCTTCCACAAAATACCATGGCCTGAGCGAGTCTATTTTGAAGAAGTGGCATTAGAAGAAGTTTAAGTTTTAAAAATTTGGCTCTCAAAAGAAATTTCAATCGTGTATTGTTGATATTTGGCTTTGTTGATTAATGAGTTTGCCAACCACTGTTCCAGAGTATTAAAAACTAGTGGGTATGAATTGTGATGTCATTGTTTTCTGCTTAGCCTGGTTTTGGGATCTTGGAATCTAAATAGGGCTAGCCTGGGAATATCACTGGAAACTGTCCACAGGTGGCTATTCCTATCACTCTGGGTCAGAGAGAGCAAGTTGTTTAGGTTTTATGGAAATTATTTTGGGTCTGTTTCTCTGTCCTTCTTTGCTATAACATCCTGTCAAAAAGAGACCCTCTAGATTCTAGAGTCTAGAATATAATCATGGCGATTTCTCTTGAATTCATATTGCGTAATTGCACAGAGGTTTTTTGAACCTAAATACTGGATCAAAGTGAACCTACTAGCCTAAGATGGTATTTAAAACTCAGTGACACAACCAGGTCAGGCAGTTATTTTTCAGATTCCATTTGTCTGCATAAGCAGCCCTAATGCAGCAGCTCTTTCTGGGAGGGTGCTGCTTGCTCCTGTGGAGAGACGGAAAAGTAGTGGGATTCTTAGTTCTCTTCCTGGAATCCCTTGAAGGTCTTAAGGTTAAAATATACCCTGATTTTACACAGTAACAGTGTACCTGTTGGATAGGCCATGACTATTAGTTCTTAACCTCTAGAATAGTGGTTCTTAATCTTTTCTAAGTTTCAGGCCTCTTGAGTGTTTGACCTCAGTGCCCAGATATTTAGAATTTGCATATCTATTTCAGAGCTTTATTAAGTTCCTGGTGGCATCTATGGCTTGTTCAACAATCTATGGCTTCCAAGTCAGAATCTATGTTCTATATAGCAAGAAAGTAAACATCAATCATATGGTTTAGAATTTTTGCCCCTGCTATTTAGTAAATTAGAAGCCCAGTGCATGAAATTCGTGCATGGGTGGAGGGGGTGGTCCCTCAGCCCAGCCTGCACTCTCCAATCTGGGACCCCTTGAGGGATGTCTGACTGCTTGTTTAGGCAGGATTGGGCCTAAATGGGCAGTTGGACATCCCTCTCACAATCCAGAACTGCTGGCTCCCAACTGTTCGCTTTCCTGCCTTCCTGATTGCCCCTAACCACTCTTCATGCCAGCCTGATCACCCCCTAACCATTCCCCTGCCATCCTGATTGATGCCTAACTGCTCCCCTGCCAGCCTGTTTGCCCCTAATTGCCGTCCCCTACAGCACATGTGTCAAACACAAGGCCCGCGGGCCAAATCCGTCCCGCCAGGCCTTGCAATGTGGCCCGCACCGCGCTGTCATCACTGCACTCCGCTGCGTTTCCATCACAATGATAGTTTATGACTGTTCAGTAAACCATTCGGCCCGCGATTTAGGCTGGATTTTAGATTTTGGCCCCTTCTCTGATTGAGTTCGACACCCCTACCCTACAGGCTTGGTTCCCCCCAACTGCCCTTCCCTGCATGCCCAGTTACCCCCAACTTCCCTCCTCTGCCTGCCTGGTCCTTCCTAAATCCCTCCCCTTCTGGCCATCTTGTGTCCACATGGGGGTAGGGTCTTTGACCACATGGGGGCAGCAATCTTGTGTGATTGGTCAATCTGCATATTACTCTTTTATTAAATAGTATAGAGGCCTGGTGCATAGGTGGGGGCCAATTGGTTTGCCCTGAAGGGTGTCTCGGATCAGGGTAGGGGTTCTCTTGGGGCATGGGGCGGCCTGGGCTAGGGGCCTGTGGTGTTTTGCAGGCTTGCCATGCCCCCTGGTGACCCAAGCAGAGGCCCTGGTATCTTCTACAATTGAAACTTTATAGCTTGGAGTAGAGTCAAGCCTCCTGCTCGCTCTGTGGCCAGCAGCCATTTCTTTTGGGGTTTATGTATCTTCTACAATTGAAACTTTGTAGCCTTAAGCGGAGGCCTGGGCGGGCCAGGGTGTGCAGAAAGCTTGGCTTCTTCTATTGCCAGGGGCAACCCTAACTTCCCACTCTTTCCAGCTCTGTGGCTGCCACCATTTCTGTTTGGATTTGTTTACTTTCTATAATTGAAACTTTGTAGCCTTGAGTGGAGGCCAGCAAGGGCAGGCAGAAAGTTTGGCTTCCTCTATTGTCTGGGAAACCCAAGACTTTTTCCTGCTCTCTGTGGCTGTGGCCATCTTGTTTGAGTTTATTTGCATATTCATTCTTGATTGGTTGGTGAGGTTGGCTTATTGGTATAATGGAGTGATGGATAATTTGCATATTACTCTTTTATTAGCTAGGATTAAACCTTTATTTTTTATTAACAGGCCAATAGTCCTCAAGACTTAAGGATGTTTTATGAAAAACACAGAAGCTTAATGCCTAGGTAAGTTTGAGCTTTACTCTTACTCTTCGTTAATACAATTAATACAGTGTTATTTATTTGAACTCTCTGTTCTATATATTGCCATTATTGAGCCTTTTTTCCAATGACAATGAGAACATTTGTTATAGCAGGAAATTAGAAAATTACTAGTGCATCATAGGTGCCTGTGTATTGCATATCATTTTCCTTTGTTTTTATATTTAAAAGAAAAACTATGGACCTGGCCTATGTGGCTCAGTTGGTTGAGTGGTATCTCATGCACTTAAAGGTCTCTGGTTTGATTCTGGTCAGGTCATGTGCTCGGTTGTAGGCTTTATCCCTAGTGTGGGGCATGCTGGAGGCAGTGGATCAATGTTTCTCTGTCATCATTGATGCTTCTATCTCTCTCCCCCCTCTCCCTTACTCTGTGAAATCAATAAAACATATTTTGCTCAGCTGGTGTAGCTTAGTGGTTGAGCATCGACCTATGAACCAGTCAGTCGGTTTAATTTTCCTGGTCAGGGCACATGCCCAGGTTTCGGGCTCAATCCCCAGAAGGGGGGCATGCAGAAGGCTGCTGATCAATGGCATCTCTGTCTCATAATTGATGTTTCTATCTTTCTCTCTTCCTCTCCCTTTTCTGAAATCAATAAGAATATATTTATTTTATTTTTATTTTTTAAAATATTTTTATTGATTTTTTACAGAGAGAAAGGGAGAGGGATAGAGAGTTAGAAACATCAACGAGAGAGAAACATTGATCAGCTTGCCCTTGACCGGAATTGAACCTGGGACCTTTCAGTCTGCAGGCTAATGCTCTATACACTGAGCCAAACCAGTTTCGGCTATTTATTTATTTTTAATTTAATAACTCTTTATTGCTCAGATTATTACAATAGTTTCTCCTTTTTTCCTCCATAACTCCCTTCCACTGGTTCCCACCCCAACCTCTGCCCTTACCTCACCCCGATTGTCCTCATCCATAGGTGTACTATTTTAGTTCAGTCTCTTCCTGTACCTCCAAACCCCTTTCCCCCTGTTAATTTTTAATTCACTCTCCCTTTCTTTGCCCCTAATTCACCAGTTTATTCTGTTCTTCAGACTTTTAATTCACTTGATTTTTAGATGAAATCAATAAGAATATATTTAGCACTGGCTGGTTCCTGGGTTCGATTCTGGTCAAGGGCACATGCCTGGGTTGGTTGCCAATAGGGAGCGTGCAGGAGGCAGCTGATCAATGGGATTACTCTCTCATCATTAATTTTTTTTCTCTCTCTCTCTCTCCTCTGAAGTAAAAATAATAAAACATATTTTTAAAAAGAAAAGAAAAACTATGGAAGTTATATTTGTTCTGTGAGAAGAAGGAGATGCAAACAGAATAGATGTACATAAAGTAGAAAATAAATTCTCTCTAGGCCTTCCCTGACCAGGAATAATGAGAGTTTGCTGTGTTTCCTTCTAAATCTTCCTTGTGCAAGTTCCTTTTGCACTTTTGAATGCTTGTTTATTTATATATTTATATACACAGGTATAGTTCAGTATAAATTACATCATATTTTGCAAATTGTCCAGTCCATCTTTTTCTACTCTACAATTCAGCATAGACATTATTCAGAAACTACTGCATCCTTTAAAATGGCTACACAGCGTCTCATGGTTATTTATAATTATCAGGTTTTGTTTGATCAGATGCTTGTTTTTATTTTCTGGTTAATACAAATAGGCATTAGTGGGGGGCACAAAGAGGGAGAGTGTGCACACATTGTGTGTTTTGATGGACCCCTAAAATGGACCTGCTGGACTGAAGGTACTCCCAGTTGGCTGCTCCTTGCTTACACAGCGCAGAGTACGCCTTCCCCACACTTACCACGGCGGGATGCCGTCACCCTTGCTGCCTCCCAAATGGGAAGGACAGATGGCTACAATGTCCTTCGCATTGTTCTCTGTGTTAGTGAGGTTGGCTCTTTTTTATTTCTTTGATGTCCTTTCTGTAGTTTTCTGTGAATTGCATATTTCTATTATTCCTTTTTCAGTTGCCTTGTCTTTTTATTGTTGGATTTCAGGAAGCTGTATTATTTCTCACTTATATTTATTTAAGCTCTGCCTTTTCCAGAACGAATTGGAGGCAGCCTTTTTTTTTAAACAGAGAACTCTGTAGTAGTAATTGTTAGTCCCAGGTTGCAGTTGTGATAAAACCCAATATTGCCTATCTTGTGAAGTGCTTTATTCACGTAGATATTCCAGCATACCGCAGGAATGAGCACATAACAGGGATCATTCTCAAAGACAGTTCCTTACTGTATTTTTTTCCTTTGAGGATTGAGGCTTTACTGTGGTACTGGTGTGAAATGTAGTGTTTGTGAAATTGCATATACCTTTTTGTTTATACATTTAAGGCAAAAGTTGAGTAGTTAATGTAGTATATAAACTCACCATTTAGGTTGTTTGTTTGTTTTTTCCCTCCTTTCCCTCAGCATCCCCAGAGAAACATCCCCATATTTGGCTAATCTTCTTTTGGGTTTGCTTCAGAAAAACCAAAAAGATAGAATGGACTTTGGTAAGTAATATTTTCAATTTATTCATGCTTTCTGGTTTTATTTGTATACTAGGAGCCCAGTGCACAAAATTTGTGCACAGGGAGAGGAGGTGGTCCCTCAGTTCAGCCTGCACCCTCTCCAATCTGGGACACCTTGATTGATGTCCGACTGCTTACCAGGATCGGGCCTAAATGGTCAATTGGACATCCCTCTCACAATCTAGGCCTGCTGGCTCCCAGGTGCTCGCCTGCCTGCCTTCCTGATTGCCCCTAACCACTTTTTATGCCAGCCTTATCATCCCCTTACCATTCCCCTGCCAGCCTGATTGATGCCTAACTGCTCCCCTGCCAGCCTGTTTTTCCCTAACTGCTGTCCCCTGCAGGCCTGGTCCCCCCAACTTCTCTCTCCTGCAGGCCTGGGTCCCCGCCAACTGCCCTTCTCTGTAGGCTTGATCACCCCCAACTGTCCTCCCTTGCAGGCTTGGTTCCTCCCAACTGCCTTCTCCTGCTGGTCATCTTGTGGTGGCCATCCTGTGTCCACATGGGGGCAGCTATCTTTGACCACATGGGGGTAGGCCATCTTGTGTATTGGAGTAATGGTCAATCTGCATATTACTCTTTTATTAGATAGGCTTCTGAAAAGATTTTTTAAAGAAGTCTATAGAGATTTCAGAAGAAAATTAGACTCAGTTTCACTTTTCTTTCTATCTCTCTCTTTCACCTACTTTGTAAATATTTATTGAGTGCCTGCTATGTTTTAGTTTGGGGATAGAGTAATAAACAAAATCCCTGTCCTCATGATGCATATATTCTAGTGGGGGAGAGACAAACAAATTATAACTCTAATTCCATGCTATATTAGGAAGTGATGAGTACTATGAAAAAACTAAAAGAGGGAAGATAAATGAGGGTGGGTGGGGATTAACATTTTAAGGTAGTTAGTGAAGACGTTCCTGAGAAAGTGACATTGGAATAAAGACTTGATTGATGTGTGTAAGCCATGGGGGTGTCTCTGGGAGAGCTTTTCAGGCAGAGTGAGTAGCCATAACACTGCCCTGAGCTGGGAAGATTGTGTAGACTTGAGCTTTTGCTTAAAGTGTGATGGGGAGCCATTGGAAGGTTTTGAGCAGAAGAACAATATGATCTGACTAAAGGACCAGTTTGGTTGCTTGGTGAGAACAGCCTGTGGTGGGGGTTGTGGGTAAGGAGGCAGGAGGAGGCTGGGAGACTCAAAGAGACCAGAGAGCCACCATGTGTGAGATGAAGCAGCTTAGATTGGGGCAAAAGCAAGGGAGGTGGGAAGAAAGTGGTGAATTCTGGATCTTTTTGGAGGTAGAGGCACTGCATTTCTGGTTGGATTGGATTTGGGGTGTGAGAGAAAGAGAAGACTTAAAGACGATTCCCAAATTTTTGGCATGAGCAGCTGAAAGGATGGAGCTGTCAGTTATAGGTTGGGAAAGTGTGTGGCTAGAGCAGGTGTGGGGGAGAGATTAGGGTTTAGGTGGGACATGTTAAATTTAAGATTTGGTATCTAAGTACAGGTGTTAAAGGCACCTGGATATCAGAGGGGAGAGGTTGAGGTTGGTGAAATATTTGGGAAAAGATCTGGGAGGAAGGAATGGAGGAGAAACACCCCAGAATCCTGGTAGAAAAGTTCCTAACTCCAAAGAATGGGTTTAAGGGCCCAGAGAGGCACCTCCTCATGGCGGCCCTGGTGCTCTGCTCAGAGGCAGCTGAGCTCCAGTGCGCATTGTGGGAGTGGGCTGTGGGGCCTCTCAGAGGCCACTGCCTGTCTCAGAATTTTATTTTATTTTAAAAAATATATTTTTATTGATTTCAGAGAAGAAGGGAGAGGGAGGGAGAGAGAGAGAGAAATACCAATGATGAGAGAGAATCATTGATCAGCTACCTCCTGCAGGCCCCACCCTGGGGATGGAGCCCACAACCCATGCAAGCTTTGTGATCAGTAGTCCACCGTGACCTCCTGGTTCATAGGTCGACACTGAATCACTGAGCCATGCTGGCCAGGCTGTCTCAGAATTTTAGATACTTAAGGTGGAAGCTACTATCATTGATTTTGAATCTTTCTTCTTTTGTAATATAAGCATTAAAATGAAAAATTTCCCCCTCAGTACTTTAATATATCACACTGTATCTTCATATACTATTTTATCACTTCATGTATAATGAAAAAACTTAGAGTGCTTAATATTGTAGGGATTATATAGTTTTTAAAGAGTTTGAAAGAACATTTATCCTTGAAACTGTTTGGGTGTCAACTTATTTTGGGGGAATAGTTTTTTAATTCATTCTTATCAATCTTATGTAAAATATAAGACTCCAAAATGACAGACCAAAAAACCCATAAAACATGTTTAATGAAAATGCTTATCAAATTAATCTTTAAATTTTTTTAGAGAAAAATGCATTGGTTATTTTTTCTGTAGTAATCCTATCCTATATAATAAAACCCTAATATGCAAACTATAGAATGACTGGAGGAACAACTGGTCGCTGTGACATGCACTGACCACCAGGGGGCAAACGCTCAATCAGGAGCTGCTCCCTGATGGTCAGTGTGCTCCCACAAGGAGAGCATCACCCAGCCAGAAGCTGGGCTCATGGCTGGCCAGTGCAGCTGCGGTAGTGGGAGCCTCTCCAGCCTCAGCTGCAGGCGGGCAGTAAGGAGTGAGAATGTCCCAGACTGCAAGAGCCCTGGACTGCAAGAGGGATATCTGACTGCTGGCTTAGGTGTGGGAATTGAACCCTGACCTCCTGGTTCATAGTTTGATGCTTAACCACTGAGCACCACTGGCTGAGTTACTATCTTTTATTATCAGGCTTATTGTGTAGTTTTTATTTTTGGTGGATAGTGAAGAAATTAAATCAAATTAATATATAACATTTTTTAAATAGAAATAATAAATTTTTGAAACCAGTTGCAAGACTACTTCTGGGATAGAAGGATAGAATTTAGTGTACAAATCAGCTACCTAGATTTCCTCTCAGGTCAGTAAACAGCCGTAGTTCAAAAAGATGCCGAGGAAGGGCTGGTTGCAGCCAGTGCTCCCTGCTGGTCTGCTGAGAACACCGCACACTGGAACTAGTCCACATCAGTGCCTCAGGCTGTGTTGTGTTGGTAATGGATGTTTTGAAAATTCACAATTATTATTTTAAAATTTTCATTAAGAATTACTTATAAGAGGATCCAAGGTGGCTGCACAGGTCTCACACAACAATTTCAGTAAAATACAACTAAAATACAAAATAGACATTATCCAGAACTACAGGAAAGTCGACTGACTGGAAATTCTACAACTAGAAGGAAAGAGAAAACCAGAAGGAAAAGCAGAGGAGCTATAAAAGCTTAAGTACGGAGACACGCTGCGCGCAGAGAGGATGGAGCTGGAGAAGAGAGGGAGGCTGAGTGCCTGGCTGGCGTTCCCTAGCGGGAAGGAGATAAAAGCTCCGGACTGTGCTGGACCCCAGACCCAACAGCGCTGAACCCCAGTTCTGGGCCAGACCCTGGGGACCCAGGCTCATACAGAGGTAGCCTGGACTGTGAGGCGGTATCTTGGGGGAGCGGCGAAAGGAGGTCCCGGAGGCGCGCACATTGCGTGCAGAGAACAGAGTGTTGACTGTGCCGCTGGATTGCCCTGGCAGGAGGGAGACAGGGGCTCCAGACTGCTCTGAACTCCACTTCCAACTCCACTTCCAACTGAACTGAACCCCAATTCCGGTCTCATTGGGGGAGAGCCTAGACTGTTTGGTGGCGGGCGAAACTCGAGGGAGCCTTTCTCTCAGAGGTGCTAGTAGTGAGTACTGGAGGACACAGGAATACTGAGACTCAGGAGCCTCAGAGGGTGTGGCTGACGGAAGCTAAGACTGGAGGCTCCACCCTAAAACTCTGCCCCATCCAAGCTGAACACAGACTTTTAAGGCTACCAACTCAGGGAAGCTGCGAAAATGCCGAGACAAGGAAACAGATCACAAACGAAAGAAATGGAGGACAAAAAGCGACTGGATATAGAGTTCAAAACCACACTTAAAGGGTTTTTCAAGCATTTCCTAGAAAAGCCCAATAAAATAAGGGATCAACAAGAAATAAAGAATACATTGTCTGAAACAAAAAATATTATACAGAGTCCTAAAAATAAAATGGAAGATCCCAAGAATCAAGTAAAAGATTTGGAACATAAAGAGCCAGAAGACACTCCTCCGCAGAAGCAAGAAGACAAGAGAATCCAGAAAGTTGAAGATAATATAAGAAACCTCTCGGACAACTTCAAGTGAACCAACATCAGAATTATGGGGGTCCCAGAAGATGACAGAGAGCAAGATACTGAAAACATACTGAAAGAAATAGTGACAGAAAACTTCCCCCACCTGGGGAAAGAATTAGACTTACAAGTCCAGGAAGCGCACAGAACTCCAAACCAAAGGAATCCAAAGAGGACCACACCAAGACAAATCATAATTAAGATTCCAAGAGCAAAAGACAAAGAGAGAATATTAAAAGAAGCAAGAGCAAAGAAGGTAGTTACCTATAAAGGAGCACCTATACGATTGTCAGCTGATTTCTCAACAGAAACCATGCAGGCCAGACGGGAATGGCAAGAAATATTCAAGGTGATGAATAGCAAGAACCTACAGCCAAAGATAATCTATCCAGCAAAGCTATCACTCAGATTCGAAGGTCAGATAAAGAGCTTCACTAATAAAAAAAAAGCTAAAGGAGTTCATCACCACCAAACCAGAATTATATGAACTGCTGAAGGGGGTTCTTTCAGAAGAGAAAGTAAATAAAGATAAAAATTATGAACAACAAATACGTAACTATCAACAAGTGAATCTAAAAACCAAGGAAACTAAAAAAAAAAAAATCTGAGGAACAATATTAACTGTTGAATATAATAGAATCAGAGGTATGGAAGGGGAGTGAACTGTTTATTCTTGGGGAAAAGGGGAGAGGGGGATGTTGGAAGAGACTGAACATAAACTGTGCACCTATGAATGAGGACAATGGGGGGTGGGGAAAGGGCAGAGGGTGGAGTGAGAAGGGGGGGGAAGGAACATTTGTAATAATATGAACGATAAAAATGTATTTAAAAAAAAAAAAAAGAAATATTCAAGGTGATGAATAGCAAGAACCTACAGCCAAAAATACTCTACCCAGCAAAGCTATCACTCAGAATCGAAGGCTAAAGAACTTCACAAATAAAAAAAATAAAAAAATAAAAACTAAAGGAGTTCATCCCCGCCAAACCAGAATTATATGAATTGCTGAAGAGGGTTCTTTAGGAAGAGGAAGAAAATAAAGATTAAAAACTATGAACAACAAATATGTAACTATCAACAAGTGAATCTAAAAACCAAGGGAATTAAAAAAAAATCTTATGAACAATATTAACTGGTGAATATAATATAATAGAATCAGAGGTATGGAAGGGGAGTGAACTGACAATTCTCAGGGAAAAGGGGAGTGGGGAGTGTGGGAAGAGCCTGAACAAAAACTGTGCACCTATGGATGAGGACAATGGGGGGTGGGGAAAGGGCATAGGGTGGGGTGGGAACCTGGTGGAGGGGAGCAATGGAGAGGGGGAAAATGAGGAACATTTGTAATAATATGAACAATAAAAATTTATTTTAAAAAATTCTTATAATTTGATTATTTTGATTTATAAAAATAATATGCTTTTACATTTAAAGGGAATGAAGGCAACATAAATAGTTAATAATTACTTATAATTAATGGATGAGTAAGGTTGCGTTCTCATTTTTCATTACAGAAGCATTTTTTAGCCATCCTTTTCTTGAGCAAGTTCCACTAAAAAAATGTGAGTACCCACTTTTTGCATTTTTACTGAGGAGAGAATGCAAGCTTAAGGAAAAAATTAGTATTTTGTATTACAAAATTAATTTTTATTGTGCTTTTCAAGATTTCATTGACCTTTTTTTTTTTTTAAATACTTGTAGTTGTGTTTATTCCATAACAGTTCTGTTTTTTACTTCTAAAGCCAAGTTTAAATAATTTAGTTGTTGCTGCATTTAATAAGTTAAGTTAATGTGCATTTTTGGTCAACACGAACATGCAGCAATTTGACAAGTTTTTCTGTTAGTCAAGTCGTGTAACTGAAGTACGAAGTGTGTTTCTCCTCTGTTTGCTCTGACAGCCTGCCCCGTGCCCGTGCCCCCGTGTGCTGGCTCCGCCTTGGGAAGTTCCTGCGGCAGCTCGCCGCCCTGCCGCTTTGCCTCTCCACCAGTGAGTTGGGTTTTATTAAAACTACTTGCAGTTCGTGCTGCCGTGTCTGTTCACTGGGGGGGCCTGGGACTGCACTGTAGATATTCTCTTTATATATAGTGTTTGATAGCAGCCTCGGCTTAGATCAAATGGACCTAGCTTTTGTCTCCACCCCGTTTTAGCTTCAGCAAGAAATTTTACCTTCTGGCTGATTTCCTCTAAACACTGAGTGTGCTGTTCTGGTCTCTGCATGCCCTGTGGGGTTGGGCAGGATGATACTTGCAAACAAAAAGAGTCTCTTACTTACTTAAATCTTGGTGGAGAGGTAATTTATAAGACTTACTTTATCTGGATGTCATGAACAGTTTGGATAGTTACTATGCCTGGAATGCCCATGTGGAGGAGCCGCCCTGGAGTCCGTCACTGACTTAGATGTGGTTCCTGGCCCTGCAGGGTTGGTCCACTCCAGCCTCTTCTTTCTGCGAGGTTCCCAAGCCCTTTCTTCAGGGCTTTCTTCCCTCCTTCTACGTGCTCCTTCCTGACCCTGAGAACTTCCTCTCACTCTCACACTGCTGCTTCCTCTCTACTCTTCCTTCCTTTACCGTCTTCTGTATTTTCCCAGACCGGCCCTCCCGCAGATCGCTGTACAGCCTGGGAGGGTGGTGGCCTTGAGGGTTTTCTGCAAGCTGGAGGTCCAAGGGCTCCTGTGTCAGCTATTATATGTTCCAGGCTTGCCTGGCACCACGAATTTCTTCAGCAGGGTGGGCGGCCATAAAAGGAGGTGCTGGATGATTTCCTGGGTGAGGCCACTCAGAGGTCTAAAAGCATGGGCCTTGGGAGCTTCACAACCCTTGCTTGCCACTAGGCCAGTGGTGTGCAGACTCATTAGTCACCAGAGCCAAATATCAACAGTACAACGATTGAAATTTCTTTTGAGAGCCAAACTTTTTAAACTTAAACTATATAGGTACATTGTTATTAATTAGGGTACTCCTAAGCTGGCCTTTGCTAGAAACTCAAGGGGGCAAAGAGCCGCATGCAGCTCATGAGCCACAGTTTGCTGACCACTGAACTAGGACAAAGGACGTAATGTCTCTAAACTGGTTTCTCATATGTAAAGTGAGGATAATTTACCTCCTTCCTGGGGTTTTAGAAGGATAAGTGAGCAAAAGCACTTGCTACAGTGCTGGACACACAATAAATACTTAGGAAGGGCAACTATTATTATTTTCCAGGGAAACCTAACAACCCTTAGCTAACAGGATGCTGCCTGCCTGTGGCAGACTCCTCCTCAAAAGCCCTGTCACTCAGGCTGAATAGAACAGGCAGGTGGGCTAACAAGACCTCATCATATTCCCTTAAGTTTATAGAGCGACAAGCCCTGGTTTTGGAGTGACGGGATAAGTGGGGAGGAAGTGTATTGCCTTGGAAAGCCTATAGGCTTTGTTTGGAGTCGTATCACTGGCCTCAGTGCTGTGGCCGCTTGCTCATTCCTGACTTTGGGCCAGTCAGGTCCAGAGCTGAGCCTGGCTTCCGTGTCTGGAAGGTAGGCCTAACTAATCTTTGTGTAAAGGCAGCGTGTGGCAGTCTGTGCAGGGTGCCTGGCAGAGTGAGTATTGGTAAGCTGTAGCTATTATTATGAACTATATATTTGATATGCATGCTATATAATACAGAAAGCAAAGTTTATGCTAGAATAAGGAAACAGGAAGAATCTGTGGAAACAGGAGTGAAGGAGCTTGTGGGTTGAGAAAGAGGCCAGTGGGAAGGACATTGAGCTGGAAATAGCTTTGCTGGCGAGAGCATGGCGGTGCTTTTGCTGGGTAGGTAGCACTGAAAAGTAGAGCAACACAGGAGCGAGACTTTGGGCTGCTGGGGAAGAGAGGATAAGGCCCCGATGGGAGTGAAGAGGCACAGGAGGAGAGAGGAGGCATTTTCAGAGGGAACCCATTTTTAGAAGGCCTTTATTGAAAGCTCGCGCTTAAAGTGAAAATAAAAGGGGAAGATGGAGAATAAAAAGAATGAAGGAGTGTCTCTATCTATTGTAATTTCCAGTTGGTGAGATTAGAAAATGGCAGGTTTGGTTGGTTTTTAACACAATCTGCCAAAAGTAAGATGATTTCATACCTGCATTCTCTCCCTTCCTGTGGCTGGAGTAGACTTACTCAGGCTGAATGCACACAAGTGTGCACATTCTTTTTTTTTCTTCTTTTTTTTACTTTCACACAAATATCAGTTGCATCTTTTTCCAGAGAAATCTTTGAAAGGCAAAAAAACAAAACAACCTTAAAGTAAATCCAAATCACTCTTTTTGTTAAGATACTGGCTATAGATTAAATGCTTTTTAGATGATATCTCTTTAATGTGTATTTATTAGTTTTATTCATTTATTAAAAGCCTGCTGAGTGAGGTTCTGGTTGATACTGATGAATGATATGATAGTAAGGAATTTTAATTGTGTGGAGAAGAGGCAGGCTGATCAATCACTATTAGAAACGGGCCTGACTATGTCTCTTTTGCCAGAGGGAATGTGGATGAAGGGCATGAGATCAGACCAAGAACTAAGGAAGGCTGCTCAGAAGAGGGCATTGAGTTGAGATTAGAAGAAAGAATTAGCAAGGAGAGTTAGTAAAAGAATAGTATCGTAGGCAGAGGAATCTTTGTTCACAAAGTCATGGACACACAGCCTACTGAAGGAGCTCTGTTGCCCTCCATAGTCACTTATATTTAAATTGGTTTCAACTAAGTAAAATTTAAAAATGAGTTAGTCACACTAGCCACATTTCAAGTACGCTGTAGCCATATAGAGCTATTATAGTTGCTGCTGTACTGGACAGCTTAGATAGGGAACTTTGTCGTCATTGCAGGAAGTTTTCTTGGACAAGTCTTCTAAGCAGTCCAGTCTGGTGGGTGTAAAGAGCACTAGAGAGGGGAAATCAGTTAAAGTGGTGGGGAGAAGATGTACCTTGAAAGAATTTAGGCATTGAGCTAAGTTTATCTTTAAAGCTATTTGAGGTATTTGAATGATTTTATGTGGAGATATGATATGATCCACTGTGTGTTTTAGCTAGATTTTCTTCTTCTTTGAGCTAGATACTTCTAAAAGCAGGGTGGAGGACTAGACTGGAGACAAGTAGAGAGGTCTTTCCACTTGAGGAAAGAGAACAATCCGATACTATGGAAGCTGTTTTATTTTGTTTTGTTTTGTTTTGTTTTTGTGTGGTTGAGCATTGACCTGTGAACCAGGAGGTCACATGCCTGGGTTTCAGGCTCTATTCCCAGTATGGGGCGTGCAGGATTCTCTCTTATTGATGTTTCTTTCCTTTCCTCTCCCTTTCTCTCTGAAATCCATAAAATGTATTAAAAGAAAAAAATAAGGACCTGAACTAAGGCAGCAGTAAGAAAAAGAAGTAGGGGATGGGAAGCAGGTGGGAGAAAGGTAAAGAGTTTGCAGAGCTTGGTGATGCTTGAACTTGGGACTTAAAGAGAAGGGAGACCTTAAGGATAGATGGGTGATGGTGAAGGTACCCCGTAAGGGAGCATGGGGAGGAATGAATTCACATTATACAGGCAAGTAACAGAGGGCTAGAGCTCATTGGAGAGGACCTGTGCTGCAGAGTCCTCATGAGGTAGGAAGGGCTGGAAGGTAGGGTAAGTAGAAAGCAGGTGAGAAGAGGAGGAGCAGGGTGGCACCTAAGGGAATTCTGTACTCCTGTCTTCTAAGGGGCTGATGAGAAGCAGGCACTCACAAAAGAGAAGTAGCAAAAGCAAGAAAGAGCAGGGTCGCTGAGTTAAGGGGGAGAGTGTCAAAGAAAGGAACGGTCCGCAGTTCAGTTGCAACAAAGAATTCAAGGAATTTAAGGAGTAGGCAGTGGTTGTTGCTGGTAAACTTAATAAAGGCAATTTTATTTGAGCATTGAAGGCAGAAAGTGTATTATGGTTGGTTGAGGGGTACATGGGAATTGAGGAATTTGAGTCAGTGAAGATGGGTAATTTCAAGAAATGTTGCTAAGAGAAGATGGCAATTGAGAGGGCTGCAGGGATTTGAAATAGGAGGAAATGAAACGTGTTTATGTGCAGAGGGTATGTCAGGAGAAAGGGAAGTTGACCGAGGTGCTTGAAGAGGCAGGAAGAATGAAATCAGATGGCGGAGAGATTAGCTTGGAACAAGGGGAAGCATCTCTTTCACCAAGACAGCTGTGGCTGCAGGTAATTTTATAAATAGCAGAGGAAGAAATTCAGAAAGTTTCTTCCTAAACCACTAGAAAGACGTGTGGACATACTTGGAATAACATCTCAATTGCTTTCAATTGTGTGACTTTGAGCAAATCCTGACCTTCTGAGTTCTGTTTATTTTTTTATTTTTATTTTTAAAAAAAATATATTTTATTGATTTTTTTTTTGCCCCCTTCCCTTCCTCCCATACATACCCTCCCTCCTCAGAGTTTTATGTCCATTGGTTGTACATATATGCATGTACACAAGTCCTTCGGTTGATTTATTATCTCCCCCAGATCTTCCTCCCCTCCCCACTGTAATTTGACAGTCTGCCTGTTGCTTTACTGTCTCTATATCTGTCTCTTGGTTCATCAATTTATAATGTTCTTTATCATCCACAAATGAGTGAGGTCATGTGGTGTTTCTCTTTCATTGATTGGCTTATTTCACTCAGCATGATGTTCTCCAATTCCATCCAGGTTGCTGCAAATGATGAGAATTCCTTCTTTTTTATGGCAGCATAGTATTCCATTGTGTAGATGTACCATAGTTTTTGGATCCAATCATCTGCTGACGGGCACCAGGGCTGTTTCCAAATTCTGAATATTGTAGATTGTGATGCTATGAACATAGGGGTGCATATATCCTTTCTGACTGGTGTTTCTAGTTTCTTGGGATATATTCCTAGAAGTGGGATTACTAGGTCAAATGGGATTTTTTGAGGAAACTCCACAAAATTCTAGCAAATCGACTCCTGAGTTCTGTTTATTTAAAGATGGAATGGCCGAAACTGGTGTGGCCCAGTGGATAGAGCGTCGGTCTGCGGACTGAAAGGTCCCAGGTTTGATTCTGGTCAAGGGCATATACATTGGTTGTGGGCACATCCCCAGTAGGGATGTGCAGGAGGCAGCTGGTCGATATTTCTCTCTCTTCGATGTTTCTAGCTCTCTCTCCTTCTCCTTTCCTCTCTGTAAAAAAAAAAAAAAAAAAAAAAAAAAAAAAATTCTATAAAATATATTTTAAAAAATAATAATAAAGAATAAAGATGGAATGGATTCCATAATGGGACTGAAGTTAATACAAGGAAAGCTCTCCACAATGTCCAGCCCATGGTTGATGTTCCTTCCGTCTTACCTTTCTTGAGATATAAATTCTCTTAAAAGTAGTGAGGAGTGCCAAAACTGGTTTGGCTCAATGGATAGAGCGTCAGCTTGGGGACTGAAAGGTCCTGGGTTCGATTCTGGTCAAGAGCATGTACCTTGGTTGCGGGCATATCCCCAGTAGGGTTGTGCAAGAGGCAGCTGATCGATGACTCTCTCTCATCGATGTTTCTAACTCTATCCCTCTCTCTTCCTCTCTGTAAAAAATCAATAAAATATATATTTTTTAAAAAGTATCATGCTAAGTGAACTAAGTCAGAAAAGGACAAAAAAATAAAACAAGACAAAAAGTAATGAGGAGGACCAGATAGCGAGGCTCAGAGGTTGAACATCAACCTATGAACCAGAAGTTCAGTTCCTAATCAGGATACGTGCCTGAGTTGTGGCTCAATCCCCAGTAGGGGGCATGCAGGAGGCAGCCAATCAATGTTTGTATATCATCATTGATGTTTCTATCTCTGTGTCCCTCTCCCTTCCTCTCTTTGAAATCAATAAAAACATATTTTTAGCCGAGACCGGTTTGGCTCAATGGATAGAGCATCGGCTTGGGGACTGAAAGGTCTCAGGTTTGATTCCGGTCAAGGGCGTGTACCTTGGTTGCGGGCATATTCCCAGTAGGGGGTGTGCAAGAGGCAGCTGATAGATGACTCTCTCATCGATGTTTCTAACGCTCTATCTCTCTCCCTTCCTCTCTATACAAAATCAATAAAATATATTTAAAAAAAACAAACATTTTTAAAAAAGTAATAAGGAGATTTTATGTCAAGTGTGCATCACACACATAAAAAGAAGAGATAAGATTTGAGACTGATTTCATTGCACAGTAACTTTCAAAGAAGCACCAGCAGTGAATTTAAAGAGCATTACAAAGTATTTTTTCTCTTTTTAAATAGAAATGAAGGTTAAAGGTAATAGGGACTTAACACATAGTACCTCGTGCATTCTGGTGTTTTAGGAAAGTATTTTTTCTCTTTTTAAATAGAAATGAAGGTCAAACGTAATAGGGACTTAACACATAGTACCTCGTGCATTCTGGTGTTTTAGGAAAGTATTTTTTCTCTTTTTAAATAGAAAGGAAGGTCAAATGTAATAGGGACTTAACACATAGTACCTCGTGCATTCTGGTGTTTTGGAAAACCGTTGCCTACTCAGGGCATTCAATTAGAGTTGTCCCTAGAGACCTTGAACTAGGCACTGCCAGAAGGTGGAAGGAGACACTCACACTGAGTATTGTGTACATATATTCATGTTTTCTTCCCTTGCTGTTCCATTTCCCGCAAACCAACTCCTCCCCTTGAAGGTTTTCCAAATCTTTCTTTTCTGTGAGTGTAAACAAATCTCTCTGCTTAAATGCAGTTATCCTTACTGGTTTGTTTACATTTTTACATAATATGGTCTGCTTTCCTGTTTACAATGTTTTTTGCATTTGGAGATTTAAAACTGTGTGTGCTTGCAAGATGCCATTAAAGTCCCTGGCATGTTGTTAAGTAAACAGCTACTGAGTATCTGCTTTGCTAGGCAATGAGCTGAACCCGGGGCCCCATGTTGGGATGGTACAGACTCATCTCAAAACTTGTAGGCGAGGCAAACAAGTACATGTGCTAAATGGCATGATACATTTTTATTGATTTCAAAGAGGAAGGGAGAGGAATAGAGATAGAAACAGTGATAAGAGGGAATCTTTGATTGACTGCCTCTTGCACTCCCCCTACTGGGGGGTCGAGTCCAAAACCCGGGTATGTGCCCTAGATCCAAATCGAAGCCGGGACTCTTCAGTCCCCAGGCTTGACGCTCTATCACAGAGCCAAACCAGCTAGGGCAGCATTATATATTTTTTAAGTATCACTTTTGGAAAACATTTAAGAAGTCTTTTTGCAAAGAGATTAAAAACTGTGCTTTTTGAAGGGAAAGATTTCCAAATAGATTTATTAAAATTTTAGATGGAATTGAACTTTATGCCTAATTGAATGAAAAAAAAAAAAACAAAAACAATTTTTTATTGTAATGCCTGTACTGACTTCCACTTTATTACCAGGCCAGTGTTAACTTGATGTTGTTAATTTTAGTCCCTTGCAGATATGCAGCATATTCAGGAAGAAAACCTATCCTCCCCACCATTGGGCCCTCCCAACTACCTACAAGTGTCCAAAGATTCTGCCAGTACTAGTAGCAAGAACTCTTCTTGTGACACGGATGACTTTGTTTTGGTTCCACACAACATCTCGTCAGACCACTCATGTGAGAATATTTTCTGCTTGTACACATTCTATTTTTTTTAACTTACTAGACTAGCATTTTTTAACGTTTATTTATACTCTCTTATTATTTAGTTGTTTGAATTCCCAATATTACATGCCTAACTTTCTAAAATCTGCTTGGCTATCTTCCATAAAACAATAACTTTGGATTCTGAAGGTACATGAAAACTAAAGGAAATTATCTCAAATTCTGTTTGTGTCTGACAAAATAGAGAAGCCAACATAATAAGAGAAATTAAATTAAATTTAAGGAGAGGAATTAAAGGAAGACCTCTTTTGGAAAAAAAAAAAACCTAAGCATCAGAGGACTCTTAAAACAATCTGGATGCCTTCAGAGAGAATGGCAGGAATGAACTTCATAGAGAGATAGGAAGAACTTTTATAAAGAAAGATGAATCCAAATTGACTAAATACTGTAGGCCTCTTTATATTGTCTGTGTCTTCATGTGTGAGTTTTGGCAAATTGTGTGTTTTACAGAATTGGTCCATTTCATCTCGGTTATCAAATAGATGGGCACAGAGTTATTCATAGTAGCACTCTATTATCTGTCTTCCCCTTTTCCCCCCCCCCCCCATATCTGTCTTCTTAATTTCATTGGGACCTTTAGGCATGTCCTTTCTTGCATTTCCAAAATCAAAATTTGTATCCTTTCTCTTCTTTTCTTAGTAACCTTGGAAGCTTACCAATTTTCTCAATCTTTTCAAATAACCAACTTTTGGTTTTGTTGATTTTATTGATTTGCTGTTTTCACCTCCATTGATTTCTGCTCTAATTTTTATTATTCCTTTTATTATGCTTTCTTTGAATTTAATTTGCTCTTCTTTTTCTAGTTTCCTAAGATGGAAACTTAGATTGAGTTTAGATCTTTTTTGTTTTCTAATATATGCTATACATTTCTTTTCAAGCACTTCTTTTTCTGCTTCCCACAAATTTTGGTAAGTTTTGTTTTCATTTTCATTTACTTCAAAATACTTTAAAATTTCTCTTAAAGTACCAGGTGTACTGGTTAATAATGCGGATTTTTTTTCAGTAGATGGAGTTACACATATGTTAATATATGTGTGATTTTGTTGTATTAGCAGCAAGCTTCAAAACTTCATATGTCAAATTTTCTGAAGGTGTTAACATTATAGATATTTTTATGCTTAAAAATGTCGAATTTTGTGCCAAAAAGCATTTTCAGGAAGTTTTAATTCATTATTTTGAAGAAAAAGTTATCATATACTTCGGGAAGCTTATAGTGAACATGCTTCATATTAAGATACTTGGGAACCCTGGTTTAAACATTTTAAAAGTGGTGATTTCTATGTGAAAGACAAAGAACGTCTAGGTCACACATGACAAACACAAGGCCCGCGGGCCAAATCCGGCCCGCCAGGCCTTGCAGTGTGGCCCGCACCGCGCTGTCATCACTGCACTCCGCTGCGTTCCATCACAATGACGCGCGGTGACATAGGAGGCTTGTGATCTCGCCGGCCGCCTCGCCGGCCCCCGTACTTGCTATCTATTACGCATGCACATAGATAACAAGTCACGCGAGATTCAGGAGGCGTGACCTATAGTCCGGCATCCGATGTGGTTGTGCGGGTGGCAGAGCAGAGGAGAGAGTGAGTGTGAGGGCATAAAAAATACACAGCAGAAGCTGCCAGTTCCTGGCATAAAGTGCAGGCATAAAAATCGCAACAGAATCTGCTATCTGTACCCAGCGAGGCATTTATTGACTGACTTTTTTTTTCTCCACTCCATCGGCCAAATCAAGCTATCCCTGTGCAGTTTTCAACTTTTTCCTTCTAACGCAGATTTCCAATAAACTACATCTTTTACTGCCAATATTGATCCCAAAATGTCCAGGAAAAGAAAAGTTGACGGTGAAGGCAGACAATTTAATGACAAATGGGAAAATGAATACATGTTTGTGCTTAGAGAGGGCAAACCAGTGTGTGTATTGTGTTATGAGACAGTGTTGGTGATGAAAGAGTACAATATACGTCGTCATTTTGACACCAAACATAATGTTAAGTATGGCAAATATACTTTGGAAGAAAAGCATAAAATTGTTAAAGAACTAAAAGGCAAACTACAATCACAGCAGCAAATGTTTACAAAGGCTACAGCGAAAAATGATGCTGCAGTGAAAGCAAGCTTTATAGTGGCTGAAGAAATTGCCCGTACTTCAAGGTGTTTTTCAGAGGGTGCCTTTTTGAAGCAATGCATGCTAAAAGTGTGTGAGCAAGTATGCCCAGACCAGATACAGAGTTTTCAAAATGTCAGTTTGTCAAGAAACACCATTGCAGATAGAGTTCAAGAACTCTCAGGAAATCTATCATCACAGCTGGCCGAACAGGCATGCAGTTATCTCGCTTTTTCACTTGCTATCGATGAAAGCACAGACAACACTGATACAGCGCAGCTGTCCATCTTTATACGTGCTACGAAGACCGACCTCTCTGTCACTGAGGAACTTTTGGATGTAGCTGCCATGCATGGGACGACGACTGGTAGAGATATATTTGAGGCTGTGGAGAAATCTATAAATAATTTTAAATTACCCTGGGAAAAGTTGGTGGGGCTAACTACCGATGGCGCACCTTCAATGTGCGGAGAAAAGAAAGGCTTGGTTGGACTAATGAAGGAAAGAATGCAAAAAAGTCACTGCCACACACCCTTGATTACTTATCATTGCATTATCCACCAAGAGGCTATGTGTGGAAAAGTTCTGGACATGAATGACATAATGACCACAGTCATTAAAACTATTAACTTTATACGGGCACGTGGCCTGAATCATCGCCAGTTCCAGCAGTTTTTACAGGAGGTGGGTGCAGAGCATGGAGACGTGCCATACCACACAGAAGTAAGATGGCTGAGCAAGAGCGCAGTCCTCAAAAGATTTTTTGAGCTCAGAGAACAAATTGCTCTTTTCATGGAAAGTAAAGGAAAGCCCTTGCCTGAACTGTCGGATCCCGCCTGGCTATGTGATTTTGCTATGATGTGTGACATATGCGAGCATCTCACCCAACTGAATCTGAAGCTGCGGGACGCAAACAAGTCATCACGAAGATGTCTGACATGATGAGAGCATTCCAGCGTAAACTTCAACTATGGAAGTCCCAACTGGAACAGGACAATCTTGCCCACTTTCCCGTTTGTTTGAGTATCTCAACCACTATTTCTGGTACTTTTCCTTGCAGTCGGCTGGCTACCAAAGTTAGCCGTTTACTAAGTGAATTTGAGCGGCGCTTCTCTGACTTTAGAACACAGCACTCAGGCTTTGACATCTTTGCCAATCCTTTTACAGTTGATGTCAACAATGTGCCCCATCACCTTCAGATGGAGATAATCGAGCTTCAGTCTGACAGTGGCCTGAAATCAAGGTTTCAGGATGTTGAAATTGAGGACTTCTACCCTCTACTGCCCCCTGACTCAATGCCAGAGCTCCGACTTCATGCTGCCCGTATTCTATCCATGTTCGGGAGCACCTATCTTTGTGAACAGATGTTTTCAATAATGAATCTGAACAAAAACAAGCACAGTTCACGCGTTACCGATGACAACCTCCATGCTGTTTTGCGGGTTGCTACAGCCCAAGAAATAAAACCAAACATTGACTCATTGATCCGGGGAAAACGGTGTCAGACATCTAGCCAGAAAACAAAACAATGAGCATTTTAGGTACATTCCAATATTACTGTTTTGCTTGATACCAATATTACTGTTTTGCTTGATAGCATGTGAGTTGGTTAACAGCACTGTTAAGGAAAAGATTGTTCCACTCATTTTAAATTCACATTTCTGGTTAACATTGTCAGTTTATGACTGTTCAGTAAACCATTCGGCCCGCGATTTAGGCTGGATTTTAGATTTTGGCCCCTTCTCTGATTGAGTTCGACACCCCTGGCAAAAGAAAAAGTTTGAAGACCAACAATTACAAGCATTATTGGATGAAGATGAGTGTCAAACTCAAAAACAACTTGCAGAAATATTAAACGTTACTCAGTAAGCAATTTCTGATCGTTTACAAGCAATGGGAAAGATTTTAAAGGAAGATTTTAAAGAAAGGTTTTAAAGGGTGACACATCAACTAATGAAAGACAAATGAAAAACCGAAAAATCATCAGTAAAACGTTGCTTCAACAGCACAAAAGAAAGTCTTTTTTGCATCAAATTGTGACTGGCGATGAAAAGTGGATTTATTTTGAGAATCCCAAACACACAACCGTCAACATTGACTGCAAGGCCAAATTGCTTCGGAAAGAAGACAATGCTCTGCCTTTGGTGGGATCAGGAAGGTGTGGTGTATTATGAGCTTCTAAAACCAGGTGAAACCGTTAATACTGATCACTACTGACAATAAGTAATCAATTTGAACCACACTTTGATCGTGAAACGACCAGAATGGGCTAAAAGACACGGCAAAGCAATTTTGCTTCATGATGACCCACCATCACACACTTCAAAACCAGTTAAAGACACTTAAGTGGGAAGTATTAGCCCACCCTTTGTATTCACCAAATCTTGCTCCGTCAGATGACCACTTGTTCTGAGCAGCACTTCAAACTATATGAAGAAGTGGTAAATAGGGTTTCTGACTGGTTTTTCTCAAAACAAGAAAAGGTCTATTGGGACAGTACCCACAAATTACCTGAAAGATGGGGGAAATGTGTAGCTAGCAATGGACATTACTTTGAATAAAGCACTTTTGATGTTTCTCTTGGTGTTTTCTTTGATTACAAAATCCGCATTATTAACCGGTACACCTGGTATGTTCTTTGACTTGAGTTATTTAGAAGTGTGTTTGTTAGGGGGCGGGGATGTAGCTCAGTGGTAGAGCGCAGGCTTTGCATGTAGAAGTGTGTTAGTTGTTTAATTTCCATATATTTTTGGATTTTCCAGTTATCTTTTTATTATTGATTTTTTTAAAAATCCTCACTGGAGATATTTTTCTATTGATTTTTAGAGAGAGTGGCAGGGAGAGGGAG